CCAATGGAAGCATGTTAGGCCTGAGAAACAACAAGTTGGCAACACTTCTCATATCCTGGATCCAATCCGGTCAAGCCCATTAAAACCTCTCAATCATTGTCCCCTGCAGGTAATGGGACATCACTGACAGCTGCATGAATAGTTAAACATGCACCAAATCACTGACTATGTACAGCCAATTAGCTTGCAGGTAAAACCTCACCCACAGCTTAAGGTGGTACACACTTGACCTGTGAGGAGAGAGGTATGAGGAGATGTATTCTGGTGACTTCCTGGTCAGTTCTCCTGGATTGTTGCCTAGCTGCGAGGGATAGATTTTGCCCCCATAGCTTAGAAGCAGTGCATCTAGAATATTGCCTGTTATAACTGCATAGAAGGGTTGGGTTACCTGTAGAGGGGAGAGGGGTAGCTTATGGAAGGAATGCATGGATCTCGCATGTCAACCATGTGTCTGCCATGTGGAAATCACTGATTTCCCTGTGATTTCCCTTGATGATCAGCTGGGAAACCCTTCCAGGCACTTACGTAGAATTTACGCAGAAAAACCCTGAATCACCCCCAGTAGATTTGCGGGGCTGACGCCCGCAATGACACGTCAGGAAATGCGGCCACGTGGCTCGATCGAGATGGAATGAAGCCCACCGCTGGTCTTCTTGTACATCGACATCATGTCCTTAAGCACCCCTGCAAAGACGATATCTATACCCGCTTCTGGATGTAACATCAACAAGGCTCAACTTCCCGATAACGCCCTTGTCCTTCCTCCTACCACCCAGCTGCAAGCTTTACTCACCATCATCCGGAACGAGAAGACCCAAAGGTCAGAGCGTCCCTTTGTGATATGATGAGCGCTGACGTCTCAGAGGAGATTTTGTCTTGTAAGCTAGATCCACTACCGTTTTTCATGAGCTGACGGAGAGCACTTCGGATAGGATCATTAGACTATTGGTCGAGGAAGGGTTGAACCACCTTCCTGTCATCCCAAGGACCGTGAGAACGCCAGTTGGAAAAGAGTATGATGGGGTAGCTTTCCAGGGTCGGATATGTGGGGTTTCTATCATGAGGGGTATGTCGTATGCTCACTTCACCTCTCTGATCTCCGTCATCCCTGTGCCCCACCCGAACTCTGGATTTCTCTCTATCGTTAAGTCGAGGTGCTGATGATTAGCTGGAGAGGTGAGCATATCGTCTGGCACACGACCGAATGGATCAATTTGATACATAGGCTATGGAGGCTGGTTTGAGGGACTGTTGTCGTTCAGGTCAGTCGCATATCCACCACGAAGACATGACTTAATGACCCAGTGCGCATAGGCAAGGTATGCTGTAGCTCAATAGCGAGGCATTTGCTAACTCCTGTCACAGATCTTGATCCAAAGGGTGAGCATAATCTAGCACGGCTTGAATGAGTCTGACATTGTAGGACGAAGAGACGGCGCAGGCTAAGTTATTTGTTAGCTTTCAGTAGTTACCAACTCACATGAGCGAGCTGAGGTCGCTCCAGTACGCCAAACTGCCGGAGGATATAGCCGATCGATATTGTCTGCTCTTGGACCCGATGCTAGGTGAGATCCCTTCATCAGCGACACATAGCCCCTGTATCGTGTCTGAGTTGCGGGTAGGAGCTAATGCTCAGCTACGGGTGGATCGTGTATCAAGGCCATCGAAGTACTGCTCTCCCATGGCGTTCAGGAAGAGCGGATCATCTTTCTCAACCTGGTGTGTTTTCTACCCCCGATGCCAACTGAGCTGAGATCGTCCAGATTGCATCGCCTCAAGGTGTCAATAATGTCTGCTCTCGGTTTCCCAAGCTCCGTATCGTAAGTGCCCAGCCAACAAGATCATTACGGGCTATGAAAGACGACGTCTAACCTCAGATCACTGCATGGGTCGATGAAGGCCTGGACGCGAATGCGTATATCGTCCCCGGTCTGGGCGATTTCGGAGATAGGTCAGTATCATATTGAACGTGTGAAGACATGACTGATCGAGGCAGATACTTTTTGTGACACATGTAAACGCGTTTCTGTTGTGCAAAACCATCCGCATGCATCATACTCGTTACGACTCCCGTACAGTACATATGAGCATCACCACCGGTCACGATCTCGGCCGGTGCCACACAGCAGAAGTGCCACATGGAGTGTTATTCCCGGATATTTCCGCTCCTGGGAGTAATTTTCACCGCGCAGTGTCCTTTTTCCTTTTGACCATCCCTCTCTCTCGTGAGTATCACATGCCTGTCACCCCTTTGGCCACTGTCTCCATCTGTTCTCGTATCTATAGAAAATCACTCACAGTTAGATACACCTTCAGTTATCATACCAAAGTAGGAAGAAGTAGTGAAGCAGCGAAGATGTTTGGTGGCGGACAACGAGGAAATTGTTTCAACTGTGGCATGCGTGGGTGGCGAGTTTCTTGTCGGTCGTGGTGGCTGTGTGTGGTGTGATCCATCCAAACCCCTCCTCCTTTCCCCTCCCCCTTTTTCTCTTGAGAGACATAAAGCTTTCAGGGTGTCACATTTGACGGAAGTGTCGGTGACGGGACTCGGTGTGCGGTTGTGAGCGAAGCGAGCGCGAAGCGTGGAGCAGAGCGAGCGATCGTACGTAGATGTCGACCCTGGTCTTCTTCTTCTTCCTGCTTTGGCGGACCTCTCTGGTATGTCATCGTCGGGTGGGAGAAGAGGACCGGGTGAGACGAGCCTTGTCCTTCGATGTCATAAAATTTCTCACCTCACCTTCGTCGCATATTCTGCAGCTTCCCATCTCATCATCTCAACCGTCATCGCCTTCACCTCCGGCCAATTCATGAGACTGACAAGTTTGGGCGCCTGCTGCACACAGTCACCTCATATACTGACCAAGATTTCCTCGAAAGTGTCACTCTGACTCGCAGCTGGTCACCTGGCGGGTAATTGTCCCAATGGCGAGCCCATGTGTTATAGCTGTGGTCGTCAGTTTTCTCTCCTCCCTGCAATACAATGACTGACAGACAAGAACAGGGACATTTGAGCCGTGACGTGAGTCATTGTCCACTGTCATCATCTTGTTACTCACTTCGCATTCTCCCTCCTTGACATCTCGCGGTGCTGGTCTCTTCTATCTTGTCAATAACGCTTACACAGAATCTGCTCTCTCCCTCCTTTTGCTGACGTTCAGTGCACCAAGGCGAAGGTCAAGACATGCTACAACTGTCAACAGGAAGGACACATCGCCTCGGCCTGTCCTACAGGTCCCAGCAACGCCGGACCCGTTGGATTTGGCGGCGGCGGCTTCGGGGGTGGTAATACGGAATGTTATCGTTGTGGCAAAGTCGGGCACATCGTGAGTCAGCCCCATCAACTTGCCTTCTCACTTGACTGAATATCTCTCCTGTTTTGTATTTGGGGACAGTCTACTCCTACTAACGAAACAGGCCCGCCTGTGTCCCAACGCTGCCGAGAACGCACCAGCACCGGGTGGTAACTTTGGTGGAGGCTACCATGCCGGTGGCTTCCATTCCACCAAGAGCTGCTACGTAAGTGTCCCCTCCGCTTCCTCATCTCATTGCGAAGCATTGAATTGCCCCCAATCGTCCATCCGACGTGCTACAAATTCTTCAAAGTACCTCCAGCAACCGGTCACGCCATGGCTGATGGGTAGAGCTGCGGTGGTGTCGGCCACATCTCGCGTGAATGTCCTTCTGGCGGCGGTGGCAATGTTCGAGGCAATTTCGGCGGTAACACTTTCGGGGGCAACGCTTTCGGAGGAGGAGCTGCGGGGTACGGTGGAGGTCCCAAGAAGTGTTTCGTGAGTCCCCTTTTACACCATTCTTCTTTAAGCTGAACGACAGAACTGCGGACAGGAAGGTCACGTCAGGGCTGCTTGCCCTCAGCAAGAGGCAGGTCCCACTGTCAGTATTTTGGCTTTTTGTGATTGAGTTTCTGATCAGACAGTGTTACGCATGTGGTCAGCCTGGACATATCGCCAACAACTGCCCTACCAAGGCCGACGCTCAGCCTCCTGTTGTTTGAACGAGGAGACGATGTGATGAAGGGCGTATGTTTCTGGCAGAATGAGGCGAGACCAGTGATCTGAAAAGAAGAAGAAAAGTCGAATCTCTCTAGTCGGAAGTCGTTGAAGAAGACATCACAAATATCTCGTCGTCAATTTTTCCTTTCACACACACTCTCTCATAATCGATTCTTTTTTCTAGTTTTGTGTTCAGTACGAGTTTCAGTCGTCTGTACGTTTGAGTTTGCCAATTGCGTAAAAAGTAGTATGCATTCATGTGTGCTTTTAAAGATCGTGTCGTCGGATATCTCTCGTCCTCTATCCACCTCTTTTCACTCTAGGGACATGATCCCTTTACTTCTGCCCTACACAGCAAGTTTGTCCTGTTCATCTGTAGAGAGGGTATCATTCGGGATGACGCCCGCGATCAACAAGAAGTGAACTTCTATGTAGAACATCTTCCCATCTATCTAAAATCAACTCTGCTTGAATAATATCCACCTCTTTCCTCATTTCCTCTTGTTCCTTATCCCACTCATCCATCCCAAGTTGATCCACATAAGTCACAACTCCATCCGTCTCTTCTTCCTTCTCATCTCTATGAACCACATTAGGATCCTTCAGTGAATCTTTGATTACCTCAAGCTCAGCTCTCAATCGTGATATGGTCTTTCTCATGGGTTCCATCCAAGTATGATCTAGTCGAGGAAGGAGAGACCATATTCCCGTAAGATTCTCTTGGTCTATTGTTGCGAGAAGCCAGAAAGTTCGGAGACACTCGGAATACCATTCAGGCCAAAAAGAATGGATCATTTCTTTCAAGGGCAGAGTAAGAGGGGTGTTGTCGTAATGTTCATTTGATTCATAATCATCTCCCCCATTCAGGTCATTGGAGTCGGCCGATTCGTTCGCCGCGTTCGCCTGATGTACATCATGAGAGGTTTGTATCGAGACGTCAAGAGGATTCTGTATTTCGGCATGAGGGGTGATATCATCCATCTTTTCTGTTCCATGTAATAATCGATATGTCATCGTCTGATATTTTGTCGGAATATCATCTGGGGTCGGAGTGTCGAAGTGGGAGGTGGAAAATATAATAGGACCTAATTGGTCCAACAATTCAGGAAAGTGGAAACGATGTGGAATTGTTGAAGAGTTACGAGGAGGGTGGAGTAAAGGTGAAGAGGTTGAATGGGAAATATGATCTCGAAGAAGTTGAAGGGATTGGATACGGACGCGTTGATATGGGTTAGAAGGGTCAAGAAGCTGTATGTCAATATGGAGTGTTAAAAGACAGTTTTGAGTTGTTGTGGTCGTCATGGATATCTAAGGAAGATGGAGAGGGTCAGTGAGAGATTGTCCCATATGCCATTTTGAGGGAAGAGGGGTGTGTATAGGCGATGGTATGTAAAGATGATGATGGTGACGAAAGAGGATGATAAGGAAAGCTCACATGTTTAAAGAGTAAAATCTGATCCAACGGTTTAGGACAAGAAGCTATGATAGCTCCTACTAATTTCACACGAGCTAATTGACTCGTAACCCCTGATTGTTCTTCAAGAAGAGGTATTAACATCTGTGTATCAGATTACTCCTCCAACTCCCTTGAAAACCACAATCATATCCCAAAAAAAGACTGATGGGTTCAGAGAAAGAAAAGATCACGGCATGGAGGGATATGATCAAAGTGGAATATTAACTCACATTGAGAAGACTCATCCCCGTTTCCAGATCAACCTCTAAAACACCATCAGGAACAGCACCATGAACGAGATACCATAACCAAGTCACACCAGCATCTACTGCGTATCCGCTCAATGCCACATCCACAGTTCTCAATGATTCGATTAATACCATACTTGCTTCACTACGTTTGATAGAATGACGAGAAGCAGCGGTCGGAGAAACGGAAGGTGAATCGAGTGAAGGTCCTGGGGAAGAAACTAAATGTGCTAGGAGATGTAATGCTGCTAAGTGGGTATATGAATCTGTGGAATTTGGACGAAAGATATGATCATATAGAATTTGTTCGTCATATCCCATTCGACGATATACGCTCTTTTGTAGATCAGTCATTTTTCTTTTCAATTCATCTGACTCAGTCAATCGTGGATGTATTATGTGGAGCTAGTAAACGTAGGCTCTTGTATGTCGAATGGTTCGAGAAATGGAAGCTTCTAGGGTATTTGAGATGATTTGTGATCTGGGAGAGGAGACAAACGTACTAAACATGAATTGAGAACTTGTCTAGCCCATGGAGAGGGTTGATCATCTTCCCTAGCGAATTTAGGAAAGGAGGATAAAAACCAACGTTCGGTCAAGCGAGATTCCATAGAAGGTGCGAATTGAGCTATGGCTTGTGAGAGAAGTTTGAATAACATATCCTATTGGTCAATCTACGCCAGATATATAGATATTCACTTTCTTCCTGTCAAAATTACTAACTCAACTAAAAGTTATAGGGCCTGAGGGACTCAAACGGAGGAGAGGAAACTCGTCCAATTGGAGATACAACTCACCTTTTGTTCTCCACCAACATCCCGAGTAGATATAGCCCATTCCCATGCTGACTCCACTAACCTTGCCAAACCTAATAAAATTAATCTTGCATGTGTAGGACTTGGATTCTGAGAAAAAACGTCAAGTAAAGGATAAACAGCTTCTGTCAAAGAAAGTAAAGTAGGTGTCGATTTTTTATTTTTCAACCTTGGTAAAGCTGTACATCAATGACTCGTATTGTAAATGATTCAAATGGATCTTACCTAGGGAATAACAACGTAAAATGGCCAATAATTCCTCAGCGACAATTGTCAAATCCTCAGGTGAATGAATAGGATGTGAACCGAATAAATCATCGTTTTCTGAATCGGAGTGCGATTCGTATTGATACTCAACCCGATCTTGCATATACAACATGGCTTCGTTGAGTGCTAAAATGATTTCTTTGGGATGAGAGATGAGAGAGATTATATTGAGTATAGGATCTGCTTTTGTGGTACATGGAACGCAATTTAGTAAAGGGGGGATGTAAGATAGAGCGAGATCTTCTAAGAGGTCTTGCTGGACACATCAGCTTTCCATATTCATTCATTGCCTCCCCGATCATATCCTTTTCAAATTAGACATCCGGCAAGTGCGCTTCTTGGTCAGTGTCGGTCGGGAGACGATATCGGGGTGAGAAGAGGTGATAACATGACGCAGAGAAGATCTTGACAGACGGGGTACAATAGCAAATCTCCACGATTCAAGATCGCAGTGGCAGAAGAGTCAAGAGATGTGAACATAACGATTGACCAAAAAAAAAAAATGGTGTACAGGGAGAGAAGTAGCAACACCCAACACTACTCACCTGTCTAGCCCTCGATTCCTCTTTCGTACCCCTAGTCAACTCCTCCCATAACTCGGCACATTCCTTCCCTCTCCTACCCCAATCTTCAGACCTCAGACCGGACTCCACACGTCTGAACAATTCCTCAGCTCTGAGTCTATCTGTCTTACGGATTTCCTCGGGGATGACTGGGGTCGTGTCCAGGGGAGAGACATTGGGACTGGCGTCTGATAGTAGGTTGACTACAAGTCAGCTTCCATCTCGGGGTGACACCAGAATTGTGATTGAACGAAATTGATGACAGGCTGAAGTTCACTCTAGAGGGACTACGATTTTCAGGTGTCTTGACGAGATGGACTTTTCAAGAGGACACGAATGAGAAACAGGGCTATTATTGAATATGACTAGAGTTTGTGATGAACAAGATGGAGACTCACTCGATGCACCCTGTTCAGCAGAGGGGAAAGTATCATGTATTTTCAAGTCGTTGAAGTCGGGTATGAGTCTCTCATTATTACTGAAATGTTCCTGCTGAACAAATTCGACTTTCTTGATGTCCATCACTATTACTCTTTGCTCCACTGACGTCCATAAGTGATGTAAGAGAATGTCGATGTGGTCCTCGACGACCAGAGAAAGAGGAGATATTCACGTGAAACGAGAACATCCTTTGGCTGCTTTGTTCACAGTCCAAGATCATGTACAGTACGTGAGATTCATGCATTTATGTAGGTAGCACAGATCGATTCAAACTGCTCCTAAACTCCTCAATCAGTTTCCATAGAATCATCTCTCGTCCCTTCTTCACCTTGTCCAACTTCCCCATCCCCGCCGTTTGACGATTTGCCCAGATCGATCAAAGCGTTCAGAAACTCTCCCACACCCAATCCGGCAATCGCCGGAAGTCCAAACTCGCGCATCATCGTCCCTGGCAGACCGCCTTGTCGCAGAGCGTTCTCAAGGCTTCTGATAGCGTCTACGAAAACGGGTCTGGAGATGGCCGTGATGAAGTCTTCTGTGGTGGGATTGCTGGGGAGAGCGCCGGAGGGCAAAAGAGGTATGAGAGTGGATAACAGGGCTGGTTTTTCGTTGAGAAGTTTACGGACAGAGTCAGGATTGAGTATGTCATTGAGGGATGCGTCTGTTTATGAGTGAGGGCGGTCCTCGTTGATCTCTTTCATGATCCTTCCAGATCACACTTGACTACACGAAAATATGGCTCACAAACCGGCAAATCGGAGAAAAGAAAGGCAAGAGATGATGAAATGGAATTTGAGGTCAGGTTATAGAATTTGACAGGTCAGACTAACCTTCTTCACTTCGAAAGAAAGCGTCCCCTTCTCTCGCTAATTGCGCCAGAAGAGCGGCCATGTCCTCATCTGTAGGGGTTGGCTGATTGAGAGGTTGACCGGGTTCTTACCTGATTAGCAATTTTCGAACTTCGAGTAACTCACCTCCTGCTTGTTGCTCGGAACTCGAAGCCGCAGCTATCGTGGGAGCTTGTGTAGCAGACGTTCCACCACTCGTGGCAGGATCGTTTGCAGAAGCAACCGGGCCGGAGGTCGCTGTGGATGTCCCAACGTTGCCCGCAGTCGTTGGCGCGGGTTCAGGACTGGAAATCAGTTTTTCATCCCGAGCAGCCGACCAAAAGATGAACATCGATTTGACCAAGAATGAAGACAAGGAACCATCCAATTCGAGTAAGTTTTCGTGAAGGAAAAAACGGCGAAATGATTCAACTCACACAAACGATGGATCCTGTATGATGCTATGGATATTCGAAGCCGCACGTGGAAAAGCTGATTTATCCCTGCCTTGAAACCAATACTAAGTATCAGATTCTTCTCTCTTTCTCTCTACACTCTCCACGGGACATTAAGGTTCTTCATATATGAATCGCATTGAAATGAGTGAGTGTGTTTAGGAACTTGAACAACTCACAAAATACTTCTGATCCGAGCTCAGGAATTGGAGTACATGAGTACGACCGGTAGGATCCTATCTCTTAGTTTCGCTCTTCGATCCTTTGGATCCGTCGAACAATAATGTCTCCTTCGACTCACCTGAGGAGCTTTCTTGAATTCCGCTTCACCAGGGAAGATGATCAATTCCTGGACATTAGCTGAGCCGGTTCACATGGTGACAGACTGTAAACTCACATCTTCTACTCGATTTCCGGTACGAGATGTCCAACCTGATCATCAGCGCCAGGAATAACGCTCTTGATGGTGATCAAGCACGTCGTTAAAAAGACGTACGGAAATGTAAGAGACCATCAATGTGTGATAGTTTCAAACTGCCCTTTTCAGGTGATGGATCGACCCAGTTCTCAGAGCTTGACCTCCGATGAGATCTTCCAGCATGAACAGAGAGAATGGACATGTTTCTGGTGTGCTAGTTGCTAATTACTTGACTCGAGATGTCTGATTTTCAAGGATAGGAAGAGAGAGGCAGAGTGAGTTTTAAGCAGAGCCACGCGTTGATAGTAGTCTTCCAGCCTGACAATTTGTCCAAAGTGTAAGCGCCTGACAACATCACGTGACTGCTATCGGCCGACGGTCTCTTCGGCCGCCGATCGCTTGGTGCCTCTCCCGTCGGTCAGTTTGAACACTTTGACCCAGTAGTTTGTGTATATATATATCCAACGCCCATGTCTCTCTTCTCCTCCTACCTTTATCTACTCAGTCTACACAGACGATAATCACAGTCAATTTAGTTCGAACATTCCAACATGAGTTTCTTCCCGATCTCCGCTTGTTGTCTAAAAGGGAGAGATCTACCGGGTACACCAAGAGGTGTGATGCAACCTGTTTCTCTCAATGATAAGAGGACCGTCGCTAGGTATTATACTAGTCCTCAGGACGGTGTGAGACATCCTAAAGCCGCTTTGGTATTATTTGCGGACGTGTTCATGTTCAAGATTGTACGTTACTTCTTTGTCTTTTCCTCACACTATGCTCCAATCTGACCTTTCTTTCACTACACTCTAATGCCTTCTCACATCAACCCCCACCCTAGCACCACAACCAGATGGCTAGGTAGGTTGAGGACTATGGAAGTTAGATTAACACGATGAAACACTGACCTCAGCCAAATAACATGATCATGGCCGATATGCTCGCAGACAAACTCGGTATACCAGTTTACGTCCCAGAATATATCCGTGCGTGTCTCATCTTTCTCTTTCTCTCTTGTCATATCCGGAGTAGACTGGAGGGCTGACACTATAGCGCACGCCGCTTCTCCGGGGATCATCGATCCTCTCACCGAGTCATACCCTGGTGCTCACGCTAACAAGTCTTGGTTCACGACTATCAAAGATGTCTTCACTTGTGCACCTAAAGTCATAGGAGTTTTGTATTCTAATCGAGCGAGTGTCATCGTACCCAAATGTCAAGCGGTGAGTCATCTGTTTCCTTCTCTTAGTCAACCCATTCTTCCGTGTCTTCGGGGAGGCTAGTCTCTTCTGGAACCTTGCTTTGAATACGGAAAGATTTTGTGGGGCTTCTTTCGAAATGGGCGACACTGATGTCAGGCTGTGGAAGAGGTCAAATTGGAAGGTTATGATAAGATTGGTGCTATCGGGTGAGTATCACATATTTCCCGCCATTTCCTCGTACATCCCTTCTGTCTACTTACTGCCCCCCTCCCCTCCCTCATGTTCGGCTTCGTCCTTCGCCCCCCCCCCCGCAATCCCCGCCTCACCTCCCCTCGGGCCTCATCATCTTGGTCAGATTGTGGGTACTCTTCACTGAAGTATGACTGATCGCAGATACTGCCGCGGAGGGGGGATGATCGTCAACCTCCTCGGATCCGGTAAAACGTCCCTCGATTGCGGTGTCATCCTCCATCCTTCTCCCGAGAGCACCTCTCTGGTCAAAGCGATCAACAAACCCACTCAATGGCATATCGCCTCTGACGACCATTTCTTCACTGCTCAGAAGGCCGATGAAGCAGTGGGGTTGATCAAGAAGAATGGGGTGGAAGCGGAGTCGTTTGTCTGGCCAGGCGAGTTAATCTCTTTTCTTTCTTCTTTCCTTGCCCGGAAAACCCGGGATATCTATAGATCCTGCCCTCGAATCAAGCCGATCTATTTGTGACTCTCTGTTCATCATCTGTCCGACCGACATACATCGTACTTGGGAGAATGTTTACAATCGCGAATAAAACAGTTGTACCGTATCATCAGGACTGCTTGTTGATTCTGAGTTGTACAGACTGTTAGTTTGTGAGAGGTCGAACTGACAGACAGAGACGTGTCACGGGTACGCCATCAGACCCGAGTTGTCTCATGCTCTGACCAAGAAAGCCTTCGAGGAGACACATGAAAAGGCTGTTGACTTTTTATCCAAATATCTCTTCGGGTAGTTGCTTACCGATTCGCTATACCGGTACTAAAGACACTTCATTTTATACCCTTATTCTTAGACTTGATTTTTCTGTAGACGTGATTGGAGAGGTTTCGCGGTACCCATGTGAATAGATCTGCTTCGCTATACCATGCCCTTACAATCTCAAATCAAGTGCCTCCAATTGCATATCACCATCTAATCATCATCATGTATCACAATCGTCTGTTCTTCACTGACAACCTTGACTTGCTCCCTTCCCATCTCCTCTTCCCCTTCTTCAACTTTGTCCTCCACACCATCCTCTTCATCTTCTCTATCATCTTGTTCTTCCCCTTGACGTCTGAACAATACACCCCCACCTCCTCCACCCAATTTCCGTTTCGGGTCTACCTGTCCTCCCTTTGACATACCATCCCCAGAAGGATCCTTATCAGAGTTTTTGTTATTGCCATGTTTACGTTTTTGACGTTTAGCTCGGTTTTTCGCTGTCTTGGCTTCTGCTTCTGCATTGCGTTCAGCTTGACGCGCAACGAAAGCAGCATGTTCTTCGAGCTGCAAAATCAGCTTTATCCCTCGTCCTTACCGACACCGCAACAATTCATGATCCTCGTCTTTCTTCCCCCACCCACCGTCCATTCTCATCAATTGAGACACGTTAAGGAGGAATGGACATGGGTAAAGGGGAAAGATGGAAGGATGGGACTCACCGCTCTCGTCTTCTCGTCCATCAACTTTATCCTTTCGGCCTCTTTCTTCCTCTGATGTTTGTAAACGTGAAATTCGCCTGATCCCGCTCCTGAAGAAGATCCTTGAACGTTTTTGACTATATCGGGTGGAGGCGCTATGAACTTTTCTTTCGGGGGTTGAGGCAGGGCGACTTCTTGGTCTGGTTTAGCGAGGAGTTTTTCTACCTGTCTTGGTTAGTAAAGCAGTCTGCATTATCTCCGTTGGTAATAATTTGCTCTCGAGAATGAGGGAGGTGACAGCGGTGTAAGGATCATTCTCCGGATCAAGAGTGTGGAGAGAGCTACCATTATGTCGAGCTTGATGGAGAAGAAAAGGGGGATGGTGAGGACGTCGGGGAAATGGAAGAACAGATGTAGATGGAAGGGTGAGAAAGAAACATACGTGATACCTCTGCATATCCATCTGAGTCAACTTTGCTTTCTTCGGTCTTGATGGACCTGGCGTTGAATCGATTGTAGCTTGGTGTCTTTGAGGAGACGTCGAGGCATCACGAACGACTGGCATGGTGTGAGTGATACTTGAACATGAACAGCCAGAACTAACTAAGATGGAAGGGCCGGGGACTTATTCGATCCCCCCATTGGAAAGCGGGTTTTACTCCGTCGGGACCCCCCCAGCGTTTCTTTCCTTTGGAACGACCCAATTCACCCCTGTCCACCTATCAATCACATCCTACCAAGCGACTCTTTCCATCCATACAACCTAGTCCTCTACGTCGTCCTTGCACATACAGCTCAACCCTACACGTCTACAGCGACTCATCCAAGTGGCTCATCTCTGATCAAGCTACAGGGTTTTCCCTCGCCCACGTATCCCCATGTCTACTCCACAAATGTCGGAACCTCGAGCCAAACGTACTCACGCTCGTCGTTCTTGTGAACTATGTAAAGTACGCAAAACACGATGTGAACTTCCAGATCTCGACGTCATATCATCCCCCTCTCCTCTCCCACCTGATAAATCCTGTCATCGATGTCGAGTCCTCGCATTACCTTGTGTGGTAGATGATACCGCTAAGAAAAGTCGGAAAAGGGGACGGGATGATATGGATACCATCCCAACTTCATCTTCCATGCCTGCTACGCTCGCTCAAGTAGCTTCTTCTTCGACTCCTAATTCTCCTAAACGTAAAGGCAAACCCCGCGCCAGGGTATCTTCACCAGGTCCTAGTAGATTGACAACAACGATAATCGATCCTAATCTCGATATCATTCATTCGTTCGATCCACTCAGTAGTCCAGATGATGTGGAAAAAGAACAACAACAACCTATCATTCGTCCTACTCAATCCGTTGAGAGAAGTTTAAAATATCATGGTCGTCCTTTGGAATTGGCAAGTGCTATGTTACAATCTGCTTATTCTAGAGGTAGACCAGTTCCATGTGTGGGTGACATGAATGGGGATGTTGATTTGATAAAATTGGTAAATCAGGATGTGAGAAATTTACTTAAACCTGGGTAAGTCTATAGAATTTTCGTGAATGATCATGGTTGACTTTTGATCAGAGTAGCACAATTACAAATCTTTCATCCGTATCTCGACAATCTTGATGATATCTTTGGTAATTACAAAGCTGTACAATTCAAAACATGGCCACCGATACCTGTCGGCTTGACTCTAGCATTGGTCCTATACCTCTCTTCCTTGACTCTCGCTCCGGATACCAACATAACCCAATTACGTTCTGTCCTCACTCCGTACATCTCGGCCCATAGGGATTATATCATGGTTCATCTCTCCTCCTCCTTCCAGACTATACAAGCTTTGGAGCTTTTATCCCTTCATGCACCATTCGGTGTTCTACCTCTAGAACTCGTCGACCCTGCTTCACTTGGTGTGGCTCGTGGTCAAGTACTTGTCGCTACACATATATCTCAATTGGTCGGCTTTCACCCTCTCATGCAAACCATTATGCAGAGTGGTATGTCAGGTCTTTTCTCCGTGGTGGATACATGGCTCTGGTTAGGGTTGTGTATAGCGGAGGCGGCGGTTAGGTTGGAAGATGAAACTCCAAAAGTGCCAGACAATTTGGCAGAAGCAAGAGAAATCGTCGATTCTTTCTTCGACGATGAACTTGAATTATGGCAAAGTGGTTTCGCAGACGGAGAAATCATCAAGACTATTGGCAAGTTAACCGTATGCGATCGATTGAGTAGAGTATCAGAAGTTTTCAATTCGATAATTCGACTTCGAGGATATCTAGAAACAGCTGTGGAAGATTCCAATTTCGATCCTGTTACAGCTATCACCGATGAGTTTAAACATTCCATTTCAAGATTGGAAGCTTTAGACGAGAGACATGATGCTATTATTGGTAAGTCCATCACCTCTCCTTGTTAAGGGTAATAATGTTGATGAAAAGCTCTTGTTCCCGAAGGATCTAGAAATCTATTAGCTGGATGGTTATCTTATCGAAATATTAGAAGAAGATACGATTCGACCAAAATCTACGTTACAGGTTTACGTTTTCTCACCGCTACAGGGTATCTACCAGGACATCCATCCGCTTTCCCGAATTTACCTACGGATTTACCTCCATCTGCAAAAGTACCTTATGCAGTTGGTCGAGCTTCGAATCCAGCAGATACGATGCCTTTTATCCTTTCACCAGGACCTGGTTCTCAAGCATTATGGCAATGGGGAGTACATCGTGGTGATACCGCCGAACAAGTTTTAGTAGCTTTTCTTTCCATTGGAAGTTTAGTTATTCCTTCTCCGACTTCAGGAGGAGAATTAATACCATTACACGACGTTATTTCAATAGCAGTAGATTGCGCAAAAGTTTTAATGGAAATGCAAGCTGGAAGTATATTGATACATAAACATACTGGAAGATTACATAAAGCTTTCAGAGTACCTCAATGGGTTTTCTCGATGAGACAAGTAGCGCAAGTTATGGCTGCTATAGCTACATTATCACCTATAAATGATGAATTATCAAGATTACACAGTTTAGCTGGAGGATGTAGTAGTTTAATCGGTTCGATGGTTAGAATAGCGGATGGTTGGACAAGAAGTTTAGAAAGTGAAGCTGCTTTAGTCGCTATTTCAGAATCGGAAGTTAATACACAATATATTTCAGATCCAACTACAACTACAAATTCGAATTCGAATTCAAATTCATCTGTACAACCTGTTTTATCCGATCCGAAAATTACACAGGATTTAATTCCAACCCAACAACAAAATTCAGTCAGAACTCGACAATCACCAGATTCTTCCGATCAATCTCAACCACCTCAGAACGGTCTTCCTCTTTCAACTTCCAATCCAACCAGTGTTCATAATCATAATCATACTCATAACCATTCTCATAATCATAGTCATGGTTCTACTCACGGACACGGACATAATCATCAACAATATATGGATTCATCAGATAGATGGATGGCTTCTGATCATACTCGATTTTCATCTGATCATTCTCGAACATCATCACATCCTACTGAACCAGCTCAACCTGGTCAATCTTCTTTACAAAGTCAATCATCTCAACCTGGTCAGATTCCCGGACAAGGACAAGCAGGAGGTTATTTGGATCAAATGTTGTCAGACATGTTCACGTATGCTTATGGGTATCCGAATATACAACAGAGACCAACTTTGGAGCAGAATACGCAGGATAGGGAGGGGGAGTTTGAAGAAGGATGGAGAGCGCCCATCTGATCTTTACTACATTCTTAAAGTCACGGTAGACGGTGAAGGGAGATAATACATTTGATATATCCATAGACAATCTTGGAACAGTATTCGAACGTTAGAGGGAGATTTTTGATTTATTGGTATGACTGAATGCAAGGAACATCTGTAAGGTTCAAAGGAGGGAATTTTTGGTTTTTGTTCTTCCGTCGTGATAATAATTGTACTTTTATAATCGAAGTTGGTATGCAAAAGAAATGACAAGTTTCGACAAATGCATCACTCTCTGTAATGTCCAACAACAAAATAAACCTTTACAATGTTCACCGCCAGCGGCGTTCATGAATCTCGACTAAAGTCAAAGGTGATAAGTTCAAGATATCATCGTTGAAATTGGTTAAAAGGGTATATATGAGAGAGGAGTGTATCAACTACCTTTGGTCCCTACGTTCTGAACAAAGTATTGGTTATTGTTCCCTACTACATTTCCGGCTGGGGTGTATTCGCATATCAAATAAAGAGATGGCTATAAGTCAGTCATATCCTTTACCTATGTCCATAGACAAATAGGCCACATGATCATCTTCCCAATATTGAAGCCGAAGGGATCACTCCGGTTCGTACGAACAAGGTGAAGGTGATAGATACACGAAGTCATCGATGACTGATTAGGAGAGAGAGAACACTGAGTCCGGCTGAGTAGATATTGAAGAGAAAGAGGGATATGAGTGAAGGGAGAGGAATCGTGAATAAGTTGAGGAAATAAGATAGAATGAGAGAAAGAAGAAACTAAAAAAAAAACTTACAGATCCCATACCGGAAAAAATCGTACCGTCCGCACATGAAGTAACTGCACAACCTATTTGAGTCGTGGCTTTCCATACGACCTACAAGTTAGTATTCATCTTGATCCACCACCTCCCCGTCTCTGACGACTCGATCAACCATAACAATATCAATGTCGATGATTCTTTCATAAGATTTCACCACCTAGTGAAAGACACAAAAAAGGGGGATCAAGCAGAAAAAAGAAGAGGACGGACCTGAGTGAAATGACCCGTAGCTTCTGTGAAACCCGGTTGATCCCAATTATATTGAGCTACAATAAGTCTTAGTCGTCCAGGTGAATAGAGGACATACCAGCTTCGTTCGCCCATGAATTGAATGCAGCAGTAACGTCATAACTTCCACCTGCACCTGCTGCTCTGTAGTCTTAAGCTCTGATAATCATGGTAGCAAGCTGGTAACGTACAGGTTTTCACCATATGGACCACCTCTACTCGTCAGCTCGAGCTTATAGTATGATAGAGATGAGGGTATGTGTCTTGGAGCTGGAATGCGTTCATTTTGTGGAAGTAGGAGAGGGAAGGAATTGATGTGAAGAAAGAAGAAGAAGCTGAACTGACGAATGTGCAAATTTGCATCCTGCTCCATAGGTCTTTGCATAACTAGCAGCATCGGCATTCCAAGTCACCGGACCAGCACCTGCTCGTCAGTTTTTGAGAAATCTGGGAGCTCTCACACGTGCGAGAGACTGGAGCGTGTTGCTTCCTTGGGATAGGGGATAGAGAAACCCACCGTACTGCGCTCTGAAGTCATTGTGCAGTTTCAATAAAGTCTCTTCGTCCGAATCTCCACCTCCACCTCCATCTCCTCCACTAGACGGAGCAGGGCTAGGAGCTGCTGCTGGTGAAGTGCTATGCGCTTGTGTTTGTGTTTGTGTTTGCGTTTGGGTTTGAGTTTGGGTCTCAGTATGGGTAGTAGATGATTCTTGTCCTCCTCCTCCCCCACCACCTCCGTCTCCTCCTGCACTGACACTAGGTACACTCGCCCCACTTGGTTTCACACCACTCGGTATTCCAGACACCCCTGCACCTCCTTCATGCTCATATCCCCATCCATGTCCCCCACTCCACGCATGCGTCCCATTCCCTCGTCCGGCAGCCCCGGCAAATCCAGCGAAGAGAGCTGTAGAATTATTCTTCACTCTGCAAGATGCTCGAGCGGACAAAGGGGCCCGTTTGGCCGGACGGGCCGAGGTGATGTAGAGGAGAGAGAGAAGGGGTAGGAGGAATGTTATTTGCATGGTATGTCGGATTTGGTCGTTGAATCACTTGGTTCGATTTCTATGAATAATCTTCGGTCGAGGGTATGAGGTAGTTGATGATAGGCAAAAGGTGGTTGACCAGGGATGATGTAATGTAGAAGATAATTGAGGTCTAAGTTTCTCGTTGTGAGTGGATTTTGTCAATGAGGGTATAGTAATGACTGTGGACGTACTTGAGTGGTCGAGTGCTTGATAGGATGTTGATGATGACAAGTTGTGATAGATCAAAACTAAGTTGACAGTTGAAACCAGTCAAAACGTCAAACGTCAAAACGTCAAATTCCGATTGACTACTTGATCGACTCCGGATTGAGAATTTGTTGCAAGATGATGGAAGTATCACAATCTTGCCCGCAAGATTTATCCCCTTGTCGACTATTCCACACTTCCCTCTACTATCCCCAGTGTACAGTGTGGACAGTGTAGCTGAAGTGAAACAGCTGAAAGTGTTGATATGGAGGATGACCGAAGATATCCCAAGTGGAGAAGTTGAAAATGTCGATATGGAGAATGTTCAAGAGTAGTAGTAGCTAGTGATCGAAAGCTGAAGTTTATCGTAGGAAGATGAATAGAGGGAAAAGATCGAAACAAAAGAATGTGAATAGTTGAATAAAATCCCCTCTTGTCAAATGTCTCCGTCGAAATCAAACGTTCATATTCTGACAGATTCTCATGATTGAACTTTGGACAAAAATTTTCAGTCAAATGGTTGAGAGGGATGGGTATAGTTGCCAAGTTACCAGAAAGGTGATACTACAGTTAGATGAGTTGGTAGGATGATCAGATGGACTGGTCGGTAAGTAACCATTACTCGTATCTCTCACCTAATCTCTCCTTAACCCCGAGATTTCAATACCTCGTGAACCCCGTTTCAGGACAACCTTTCATACAACTCGGTCAAGGTGCCGGTGGCTATGGCGGATGGTAAGGTGATCAACGCATCTGATAGCCGGGTTGTTAAATCGCACGAGCGCTGGACGATATGAAGATCTAGAACCGCAAAGGCACGGGGAAGAGATGGATGGAGGAAAGGGCATGATGTTGGGGAAGGTGGATGGACGGGAAGAAGGACGAAGAAGAGAAAATGATGAGGTGACAAAAAGGACTTTGGATGATGGAAGATGATGGGAGATTGAATTCAGAACAGGGAGCATGGGAACCATGGGAACCAAAGGGTGCTACCCGTATGTCAGAAGAAGAAAGAAGAAGTGTGACTTTTACCAAGAAGGAAGATCATGCAGAGTATAGAGAGAGAGAGGGAGTCAAAGGACCAAAGTGGACAAACTCCCCGTTTCAACTTTCAAAGGCACAATCCAACCCAAACCTTGTTCAACATGCAACAGAATCAGAATTATTATGCCTGTACGCCGATTCCACACAATAAGACGACGACATCAACATGTAGCAAGTATCATGCATCTACAGCACATGTTCTAGATTCCACCTTTGCATGTGTTCCGTTGGATCGATATGTACAGACAGCTCATGTGTCAACTTACCTTTCATGCCCATCATCATCACTATCTCCCACGTCCTCCGCGACCACCCCTGGCTCTGTCCCTACGCGACCCACTCCCTCCGCCCCTTATCGATCCTTCATCTCTCTCCATACCTCTACCCCACTCGCCCACCGAATCTCTCCTAGGACCTCTATGATCATCTTCGTACCTATCAAGATACCCAGGTCCACTCGGTCCTTCGGATTCACGACGACGATCAAAATCCCTGGCTGGAGCGGAAGGTGGTATTCTTCCATCGTAACCTGCTCCACCCCTACGGTCATCGTATCCTCTCTCTGGGAGACGAGATCCAGGCAAGGGAGGTAAACTTTCTCTACGAGGGGGAGGATCAGGAGGAGAAGCCTTGAGACCAGTTATGAAATTTCCTCTTCTCGGCAATTCTCTTTGGCCAGACCTATCCGCGTATTCTCCAGGTCCATTGTATGCCCGTGTGGCCGCAGGTTCAGAAGGAGGGGCAGCTGGAAGATGCGAGATAGGAGGCGAAGGACGATGTCCTGTTAATTGAGGTGGATAACGCTGACGATCGGATTCCCTCATAGATGCTGGCGCGACGGGCACCACTGTTGTAGGAACAAGTTGTTCCAATTTGGCTATCTGTGCTTTCAAAGCTTGAAGAGTCTCCACCACTGTACTGGGATCCACCAAGGTGTCCGCGACGGGTGCAGATGGGGGCGGTGGAGGGCGAGAGTAAGGTTCGCGAGGAGGTTCACGCTGATTCATCGGTGGGCGATAATCATTAGAGGGTCTGTTGTATCTATATCCATCTTAGCATGGAGTGAAGCAATCGAGATATGACTTACGAGTCAGCATAACGATCATTCGTCCCATTCCAAGATGGATCATTCCTGCCATATCCTCGATCGAAGGCCGTGTCTTCCCTACCGGGTTCAGATCCACGACGGTATTCATCGCCAGACGGACGACGAGAATTATCGTGTCCTCTTCCGTAGTCTGGTCCACGATATGAAGGTCCACGAGGTGGTGAGATATCTCTCGGGTTGACGCCTCGTGCAAAGTGTGGTGATCCCCGCCGAGGTGACGGAGAGCGACGCCTGGCATACCCGTTGCTGGAACGTTCCATACTGTCACGACTGCTGAATTAGTGTATTTCCCACTGAGATAGGGATCTCTCTCACCTAGTCCCGTACAACGGCCATTCAGGACGATCATGGGCCGTCGTGCTTACCAAGTATCCTTGATCCCTGATTCTGTCTCCAGGGTTGGGCCCATTCTGCTGTTGTATGGATCCGAGCCTGGTCGCCAGAGACGATTGTAGTCTAGCCAAGTCAGAAGTCTGCATACGTTCCGGAACAAAGTTGGTAGCGCTTGGCTGATTGTTGAAAGCTGCTTCAACTTCTTTCTCTCCTCTCAATAACTTGCCTACAGTTTTATCGTCTTGAGCCAGAGCAGGCCTTGTTGGGAGTGACTCTTTTCTCCGTGGATCACGAGACGGATCATATGTTCCTGCTGGAGTAGAGATCGGTCTTGATTGTTCGAGCCTGTGGCCATCTGCCGAATTGATTCCTACCGCCAATGATTCCTCCACCCTGGGCTTCTTGTTCGAGTCAGAATCTTGTATGGATTGGGAGGCAGGTCTCTTGTCGCCAGTCAAATGATTCGTATCATCCGATCTCGTCTTCGCTCGTAGCAGCCTTTCTTTGAGCTCTTGTTCCCTGCTCACCGCCGCAGACGCTTCTTGAGTCACTACCGTCTTTGGTGACACCCCGTCGACTGACATACGCGCGACAGGAAAGGTTGTCGAAGTCATTGCCGGAGAGAGATGCGACTTGAGAAAAGACTCCGCGATAGCAGTGATAGACGGAGCATGTGCATCTTTCGCAGAACGTCGGCTGGCCTCAACCTCGGCTTTGAACTTACGCAATTTGGCGAGATCATCTAACGGTGAAAGCGCGACGGGTGCTGACTGCATTTCATCTTCTGTCTTCTTTTGCTCCGCCGGCGTGGATGGGACCGCAGTGTCTTCTTGATCGACAGTGGGCGTCGCGCCTCCTTCGACTTGACCATTCATGTTCGTCCACTGTGTCGCCGTTCCCCGTGGGACAAGGCTCAAACGACTGGGGTGGATCTTGCTAGCCTCAAGTGGCGAATGTCCGGGATTCGATGGCTGCACATCTGCTTTCTCTATGATTGGTGATGAGCCAATCTCACCAGGCTCCTTGTCTTGCATCGAGTTCATGTATCGTCTTTCGGGTCCTTCCGGATGGGCATAGGCGGCGGGTTGAGCGAGAACGTCGACCGGTCGACTTATCCTACTGGCCAAAGGTCGTGAAGGTCTATCCGTATGATCCGATTGTCGATCGTTGTGATTGTAGTCACCATACATACGTTCGTCCAGAGAAATGCGATCTCGTTCTCTGACTCTATCTAAATCACGAAAACGGTCACGACCTCCTCGATCGCGGGGGTCATAGCTATTTCCACGTCTGGAACGATCTTCGTTACCTATAGGATTTCCGCTGATCCTTCTAGCAAGGTCTGCACCGCTCCCAAATTCTGCAGGTGGAAGTTCGTCAGAGAGACGCCGATCATCACGCCGTCCGTTACTCCGACGGTCATTCTGTTGACGATCTCTAGGTTTCAAGTGATGGTAAGGGTCATAGTTACTGCCTCTGTAACGACCTGAAGGGTCTTGAATGGACGACATGGCCGAGGACTTGTTCGGTGTTTCACCAATCAACTTTATTGTCGACGTGTCTGATTCATCAAGGGCGTCCAGGGCGTTGATGGGAGGGACAAGTCGAGGAGAAAAAAGTTGGAGGATATCCGATACTGGTACAGAAACAGAAAGTGAGAGAGGAAGTTGTAACGAAGGCTCGGGAAAGACTGGGACACCAGTGTGATCTTTCTTGATCAGCATTCTCCTCATCACGAAGGGTGTGAAATACGGATCGGTGGTGATGAATGAGGACGTCCCGGCTATATCTTGAAGGGATAGAAGAAATCAAGGGATAGGAAGCTCACGAGGAGGGCAAAAGGAGGATGACACAGTTGGTCTTATATAGCCGTCTCCGCTATGACGAGCGAGACGAGGAGACAAAGAGGTTTCTATACTTACTAACAGGGAGACGAGGAGGCGATGGTCAAAGGAAGATACACGGGGTTCGGACGAAAGAGCCGGCGTTCCGCGCGTGAGAAGGCGAGTGGAGGGTTGCTGTTCACTTGGTTTCTTCGTTTTTAGAAGCAGTGTAAGATATGTACACTGCCTGACCAGCTTACCTCACACAAAAGTCGATGACGAGTTAACGAGTGGAATGAAGGTGGTCCTGTGAGAATCGCCCCTCAGCCAAGCAACCCTCATCTGACACCTCCCCCAAAAACGTAAGAACGCTCGGACCTACGCGGACGTCATCACAGGTGGCTTTATGGTGAAAGCGGACTGATAAGTATACTTCCATCTCTTGGGTCTTTTACCTAAGTAGTCGGGCATCTCAAACTCAGACTGACAGAGAGAGCACTACTATTGGTATGGCCACCGTACACCCATCACGTTTGGGGCTCGTCCCAGGTGCCCTCACACCAAGGACAACACCTCCAACCGTGCCCACATCTTTACCGCCTGTCGGAGTGATAAGGGAGCAAGAGCTACGTCGACAGTTGTTGGAGAGGCGAAAGAGCAAGAGTCAGAATGGGAGCGGTAACAGAGGCAAGGAGCTTTTACCGGAGACAACATCCAGAGACACCTCTGTGACATCTTCCAAGGGTGGTCAAACGGATAAGGAAGATGGTGATAGTGGTGCTGAGGGACAAAGAAAGCAGCCGTCTTCCAGTCGCGACCGACATCGATCTGCGACCAGAGATCATGACGAAGAGTATGGAGTGGAGAGTAGGCGAGCACATGAGGGAACGTCTGATCATGATAGAAGACGGCGGGAAGATGACTATCGGTATGGGGGCCGGAAGGAACAGTCGAGAGAGAGGAGGGACGAGTTTCATCGTCATGATGAGAGGAGCAGTAGATTGGATGACGCTCGGCGACATCGAGAGGACTCAAGGGAACGAGAGGACGACAGACGTGATAGCAGGAGAAGACACGAGGAGGAAAGTCACGAGAGATCTTCTCTGAGAGCGGTTCACGACGAGAGAACAGAAATCAAAGACATCGAACCGCATAAGAAGTTCGATCTACCTCGACGTCCCTCTCCTTACATATCCAGATCTCCGGTACGACGCGATTTCCACCCCTCTCCGCCCCGAGAACATCAGAAAGCACCAAGTACGAGTAATTATGGTTACGGACCATCTGCTTCTCATGGCACTGCACCTTTCCGACCCCCACCCATCGACCTTGTGAGGGGTGCCCCTCCACCTCCCTTCCTCGGCCCTCCTGTGCACATGGCTCGACCACCTCCACGACATTTCGCCGGTCCTGTCGATTATGAAAGGTGAGTTCAGAGGCTGCTCTCTCCCTCATATCCGTATCATCTTTCGGATTACTTCATCATGACATGACTGTCACTCTGAGTATGATCACTTGACTGGTCACTGACGATCAGACGAAGATTGGAAAGAGAAAATAATCCATTATCCATTTGGCCACCATCCCCAAAGGCACCTTACCTGAATGAAGAGTACGTATTTCTCTCTGTTACTCTCAACAAAATCCTCAGATTCCTATCTACATGTCTTCCGTGAAGCAGGACGGACGGCATCTGTCGCGTAAAAGGTTTTAGCTGAACTACAGGGAAATAGAAGCTGAAAGACGGGCCAAACACAAATCCAAACGACATAAACGTCACTACGACACCGAAAGCTCTAGTGATTCGGAAGATGAACGAAGACGTCGACGACGCCGGGAAAGGCGTAAGAAGTATTCCGATTCTGAGGATTCTGAGGATCATAAAAGAGAGAAGAGACGAAAACATCGAAGTGTCACACGAGAACGAACGAGGACGAGATCACCGAATAAGATGACGGATGGAGGTATAGATGGTGAAGAATGGGTCGAGAAGAGAGATGAGAGTTTGTCGTTAGGACTTCATGAACATGCTGGGGTGTTGTTGAATGAAGAGGACGAAGAGGTCGGACCTCAATTACCTAGGGATGGTATGGGTCGTGAAAGGCGTGTTGCGTGAGTTCTTCTCCTTTTTTCTTTTCTTTTCTTCTTGATCAAACCTCTTTTCAGTATGAGGTACATTGTTATGGTTTGAGTGGAAGTCTCTGTCTACCACTTTGAAACCTGCTACCTTGCATCTCATTCTTTCCCTGTTCACCAAATTTTGACAAAGACGATCCTTGAAACAAAAACAAGAATCCCCGGAATATGGTATCAGTAACTTAGAGAGTTTGAGATCACGTCAGAACAAGTGGGGAAAAATACTGATTTACCAGCTACCGTGACATGCTTCCAGGAGAAGGAGAAGCAATGGCATTTTACGCTTCGACAGGTCAACGTATACCACGTCGTGGAGAAATAGGTTTAGACGCAAAAGATATCGAACAATACGAATCATCAGGTTATGTAATGTCTGGTTCTAGACATCGTCGTATGAACGCTGTCAGATTGAGAAAAGAGAATCAAGTGATCAATGCAGAGGAGAAAAGAGCTATTTTGAAATTACAAAAAGAGGAGAATATAAAGAAAGAAGGTATGATTATTAGTCAGTTTAAAGAGGTCAGTTGTGTTTTTTTATTTCTTTCTTTGTTTGACTTTTCCTACACTGACCTTTTCTTTTCACAGACTGATATCACTCTACTCCTGCTTGGTTGGCATCGAGACACTAAATATATATCTTCGTATTTTCTGTTCTTCCTTTCTTCAAGCCAAAGAGGAGGGAGGGGAGGAGGTGGGATGATTACAGTCTGTACATAAAGAAAAGTTTGACGCTGACAAATGAAGATGATGGATGAGAATCTGCAGAAACAAGGTTTAGACAAGATCTAGCTTGAAATCATCCCTTCATTCTTTGCGCTTTCCATCTACCCCAACACCGACTCCGCTTGTATTTTCTGCCCTTACCCCAATATGAAGCATACAATACTCTCACCGTCTCTTCTCCACCCGAAGGGGGACATTTCGCTCTTCCTCACACCTCGCTTCATCCTCGAGTCAGACGGTCGGCGGGTCGCAACAGGCAATATAATTTCGAATTTCCCATACGTTGCATGTATACTCTCACAAGTAATCAAGTCATCATTAACTAGGTTCCAAGATCATTAGTTCTCATTCATGCATAGCATAACATTTCATCATTATCAAGAATATCTCTTCACTATTATACACCGAGATGGTAATTTTGGCTTCCTTTTCTCAATCATCATGTCCAGATCTTCGTCCCGTCCTACGATGACGATTTTTACTCCACTTTTGTATAAACCCAATTTAAAATGGAATGCACTTTGGCTAAACCCAATGTAGAGTGGAATGAAATCAAGATAAAGTTGGGAAAAGTGGCAAGTGTCACGCAGGAAGAGCGGAGAAAGTGGAGTGAAACGAAGTGAGAGTAAAAAGGGAAGGAGGAAGGGAATACACAAGTTATCACCGAACACTTAACTTTACCTCTAATTGAGCTAATAAATCATCTATATCCCTATCCATCTTATCCAACTTTCCTTGTATTCCCATAGCATGAGGTACGAACTCTGGCCATAATTCATCCATTTGTAATTTCTCACCATAAAACATTCTTTCTACTTCATCCATCTTTTCATCCCCTTCTTCATCTTCTTCTTCCCTTTCCCTTTCTCTTTCTCGTCGTTTATCATCATGATGGATATCTGATCCATCATTTTTACCTGGACTGGAACCAGAACCAGAACCAGAACCAGAACCAGATTTAGAAGTAAAACTTGAACTAGATTCAGATAATGTTGAAGTTTTAGAACCATCAGAACCATATCTTCTTATCCTTTTACTTTTGATTTTCTTAGGTTTCATTTCCCTTGCTCTAGCTTCAATAACAGCCATCATTGATTTTATACCGAAATCATCCGTATATAACACTGGACGTTGAGGTGTAGGACTAGCACTTGCTACAGCTCTTGTGAAAACCGCTCCGTATAATGGTGGTGTAGGATGTGTGGAAGAAGTAGCTGTTATAGGTGTTGAAGATCTATCATCATCAGGATGTGGTGTTGAAACTTCTGATAAAATTGATGCTATAGAAGGTTGTTGTTTATGTCTAGAAATAATTTTATTGACGGTAGCTTGAGTTTGTGCCATTCTAGAACTTGATCTTTCAGGTCTTTCAGGTTGACCTTTATCTGAATTAAAGTTGAAGTTGGAGTTGGAATTATGGTTTAAAGAAGATGTACGTTCTGGTCTTGGTGTTAAATCTGCTAAAGAACCTTCTGGTAAAGTTGATAAACGACCTTGAGGTGTTGTTCTACCATTTGTCGAAATCATACTTTGATCATTTGAAGGTTGAGGTGTACTACGACCTGAAAGTATTTCGATATCATCCAAGGAAGATGATGATGCCATACTGGCAATGAGGGAAGAAGAAGTTGATGTGGAGAAAGTCGAATTATTAGGTATTTGTTCAATCATACGTTCTAATTTCTCTTGTAATCTTTCAGCTCCAGAACGAGCAACGACAGTTTGTAATATATCTCTTGAAGCTGTACTGCTAGCTGATTCTGGTCTTTCGAGTATACCTCCGGAATTCTTACCATTGGGAAGACCATCCATAGGTGTACTGGGAGCGGTGACATACACACTGCTATCGGTCGGAGCGCGTAATAATGTAGGAGCTTGAGGTATGTTCGGAGAACCTTTAGTACCGTCCGGACCCCATTCTTGTCTCAACAGCTCAGAGACATCCACTTCTGGACCGTCGCGAGGGTCACGAGGGAGATAGGAATATCGATATTGTTCCCCTTGTTCAGGATCGATTATCAAGGAAGAACGAATTATGCCTTTTTGAGGCAGGACAACATCCACACCTTGTTGTTGGTTCTCATGTGCCGATATCAATGCCTTTTGATTGGCCAGAGTAGCCGCCCGTTGAGCCGCAATGAGTTCTTGCTGGGACATGTGAGGGTTGGCGAGGACGGTCGAGGTGGTGGTATTGGATGATGTGGCGATATGAGTGGAACTTGGGGCAGGAGCATTGGAGTTGGATGCAGAAGACAACTTGCTTCGAGCCAGAGCGACATCGTCTAATGGTGCAGGACGGCCCATGGAACCAGGGCGAGGAAGCACACGACGAAGAATAAAAATAGGATCAGTGGGGAGGAGGTCGTTAAGAGATCCAAGGGCTTGTCCTTGGGACATATCTCGAGATCGGCGTCGTTGTTCTGGCGTTGTTCGATCCAACGGTCGAAGATTGGGCGGTGCGCTGTAAGCCTCGAGAAGTTTGCCAGACGGTGACAGGCGGCGTTCTGTAACAATTAGCGTCGGGCCTTTCCTCTAGAACGATTCGGTGTCAGGATGATGATGTCTGGCTATAACACTGACCTTGACCATTGACCAAAGCCGACAGAGTATACCTAACCTTGACCTGGCTCTTCCTTCTACCAGCACGATCATCCACATCATCTCCTCCATCCACCACACCTTCACCTATCCCAAACCTCTCCAGCGCCTGTTCGATAGCCTCCAACACCGTTGCATTACGTGGCATGACCAATAGTCTCTTTCTATACTCCTGCGAACCGTTCGTCCCTGTTGACACTTGCTGGCCATTATTCTGTCTTTCCCTCAGTATGGCACGGGGTATGATCGCCTCGCTGGCAGGATCAAACGCCGACCCGTCCGGTAGATCCGACGCATGAATACGAAGTTGTACGGTGAATCTTGCCGAAGGGGAAGAGAACCGTTCAGGAGAAGATTGACCTGTAGTATTGATAGTGAGTGAAGGGTTGTATCTCGGTTGAGCTTGCGGTTTGGGTGAATTGTTATCTGATCCGGGCATCTGAGGTTCAACATCTGAAGGTGGTGATAGGGAAGACCAATATCCACTTTGTCTTTCTTGATTTTCAGTGGCTTCTTGTACAGTTGACAATTGTGTTGAATAGCTGGAGAATTCACTATTGGATTCCGGCATTTGACCGAGTGGTTGTTGAGAATTTGGTCGTCTTCTATTGAGATACAATTTGACTGTAGAATCATCTGAATAATCGTTCATACCCAATTTCGCGATAGCCGGATGATTTGAGAGACTCATGACGCTACTTATACTTCCAACACTGGATCTCTTGACGGTCCGTAAGTTGAGTTTTCCATCTGATTGATCGTCATCCCATCGTCGTACAGTTTCTTGGAATACTGCCAGGGGCTTTTCAAGTGGAGCAAGTTCCGTTTCCTCCCCACTGACGTCCTTGACAGTGAGGAAATACACCGTTTCTGGATTGGGGTTTGAAGAATGAAGATGGAATCTTTGCATGGCTTGTCGAATCAAATCACTAGCGAGGGTCGTTTCGTTGAGTAAGACAGTCTTGAAGGACGCTTCGGAACGTATATGATCTCCTGCAAAGATGCGCATGACGTTGAGCAAGGGAGGACCGGCAGGGTTGGGGGAGAGAATGATACTGGTTGGTCTGCCGGGTGTGGGACCGTTACCCATGCCAGCTGCCAGTCGCATGGCCGCTGCACTTTGAGCAACAGCTGCTGCTGCTTCGGCTGTCGATGGGGAGTTCTGAGATTTGGGGAGGTATTTATTGGCATATAGCTGTTGTGTCGCGTGATCTTTTTGTTGTAGCCTCGCCCCGCTCAATGTTAATGGCGGACTGGAGATAACTCCATTCACACCTCGAGAAAGTCCCTCTGTATCACCCGAAGCTCGTGTTTGACTAGCGGGTGATGAATCGACAGCACCACTGACCATGCTCTCTTCCGAGCTTCGAGGATCGGTATTGGCGATTCCTTTCTTTTCCTTGTCCTTATCTTTATCTTTGCTCTTCCTAGAGAACAATCCACCGAGCATTCCCCTTTTCTTTTTCTCCCCTGTACCAGTGAGATCTTCTTTACTAGCTTTCTTTAAAGTCTTCTTCTGCTTCTCCTCCTGAGGTGGACTGGTGGGAGTGGCACTACGACCCGATCCGACCGAGACGATAGACATGACAGAACCCATTGATTGTCCACTGACATTACGAACATTGTTATTGACTTGTACTGCCGCGCTGGGCAGCAAGGGTCCTCCTGGTGACGCTTGTGCGACTTGAGGCGTGACGGTGAGTCGACGAGTTTCACCAGCTTGAGCTGGATCAAGTATAGGACTTCCATTCGCCGACGAAGTGAGAGACGAGGAAGAAGGAAATGAAGTTTCTGCGATGCCACCTGGGGTCTGACGAGGACCGAAGGGGTTGTTGGATTTTGGAGTGACTGAGTTTGTCGACGAGGCTGGAGAGCGAGCCACGTTTTTATTGGGTGAAGTTTGATCTTGCTGTTGACGTTTTTGATCCAAGATCCTTCTCTGTTCAGCTTCACCTGCTCCATCGGCCCATTCAACCCCATCGTCCGGTTCCATATCCATTTCCCTTCTTCTTCTAAGTGATTCTTCCACCGCATCGACTTCACGTTCACGTTCACTTTGCATTTCATCTCCTTCAGGATGTATATCGTCCTGACTTCTTTCGACATCCTCAAGATCATCTTCATCTTCACCTTCACTATCGTCATCTTCACCATCGGTACTCCAGGTCACACCGGGATGATCGACATAGGTAGGCGGAGCAAACACCACTCTTCTAGATCCTGACTCGACCTCTGGTGATTCGCCAGATTTCTCTTGTCTAACACCTTTGGCTTTGTCCGCGATGGCTCCTTTGAGTCGTTCTAAACCTTCCACCCTAGTCGCTTGCTTTTCTTGTTGAGTCGGAGCGGCTAGGTCGACATTACGATGTTTGTTGAGTCTCGCAAGACGTTCGAAAGGGGTCTCGATGTTTTCCGCTGGGATGTATCCGACATCTTCAGTTTTGAGTACACGTACGAGCCACCAATACGAGTTGACATCGTCGAGTAGGAGAAGGGAATCGCCTTTGACGACGGAGGCTTGACCTTCGACAGTTGCAAGGAAAGTGCGTCTTTTATCAGCCATACTGATACTTGTAGTGTCTCTCTGGTTCCCACACGGTATAAAATCAAATGTTCAATCGAGTCATGGGAATATACGGAAGGATGTGTTCGTTGTAAGGGACAACTCACAGAGCATAAGTGAGAGAAAAATCTATATTCTCATCTGGAATACTGGCCGTACTATCCGTACTACTAGCATCATCATCCAACATATCATCATCCTCTCCTATCACCCTAGCAGAGGATTGGAATCTATTCTTCGAAGGACCCGGTTCTGCCGTCCCATGTTCTTGTGTATGTCTTTGATAGTAGAGTGATTGTTGTTGTTGTCTCTGATAGAATTGCATTTGATCCGTTGTCATACCTCCTACACCAACTGCAGAACCACGTCTACCCTGATCCTGTTGTTGTTGTTGTGATTGTCGTCGTTGTTGACCTTGTTGGTTTCTATCCTCTTCTTCCTCACGGTAAAATCCGTCGCGGTCGTTTTGATCAATCATAGATTCGTCGTCGGAGGCGTCTTCCATGACCGATTCACCGTAATGATACAGACGAGGAGAATGAACATCAGTCATGATGAGGGGTGTGTCCAAGGAGAGGGGGGCGTCTAGTGGTCGATGAGAGACTAAATATCGAGGTCCTTTGAAGTTTCGATGGGAAGGGTGCTTTGGACTAGTTAACACATGCGTCGGAAGGGGAAGGTCGGCGGTAGGTGCGGTTTGGTGGATGGATGTTGCGTCCAGGTGTTTATATGAGTGAGGAGGGAAGAGAGTTTAGAGTGACTTAGGGTGAGTACAAGGTGAGGGAGAAAGAGAGTGTGGGTAAAGGCGATATTAAGCTTTGTGTATGAGAAAAGACAACACCAAGGGGGGGAATGGTTCATGTCTCAACTGGGCATCTCGTACTCTTGCACGCGCTCGAGCCGCCAAACAGGACCTGATTACGTAAGAACATATTTCCATTAGACTGCAACGTGTTTCAGAGTGCGTCATTCACCACTTACTCAAACCTGGTACAGTACATACAATATCAGCACTGTATTTCCTGGTCGCATTGTGATACCAATCAGGCGGTTGTCAGGCTGGAGTGGGCGAAGAGAGTATGTGTGTACGTGGTGGACATCGAAGAATGACAAGAACAATAATGCAAATGCATACGATACTGGCTACAGGGTGACTACAATGTCTGACTAGATTCTAATGGGGCCTGCCCGATCTCATGGTTCGTGTCCAGCACGAATGATAACATATATGAATCGATAGTACGAGGACCGAAATCAATGCACAATCACAGTTGATACTTTTGCTGTATTACAAGGACAAGGACGATCGATCACGAACAGGATACTAAATGCGATATATCGAAAGAGAGGTCGGTCATGGAGGGAAATAGTGTTCGAAGGGTATCAATCATGACGATGAAGTGTTGTTTTGGTATTCGCCGACATTGATACGGAAGTATGCACCAGGATCACCAAGAAGGATGATGTTTCCCGCGGTGTAGTACTCGCATACCAAGAACGAGGAGTTTTGGTTTAATGTAGGGAAGATTGTATCTCCAGGACAGTTTGACATTGCGCAACCGACCTCCGTTGTTGCTTTCCAAACGGTTTGAGTAAAATGACCGGTTGAATCGGAGAAGGTGGGGTTGGACCAATCGTAGTAAGCAGCTTCGGACGCCCATTCTTGGAAACCTTCGCCGGTACTGTCATCGAAACCAGATACCGCGGCACTGAAAGTCAGCGTTGGACCGAAGTCATTTCACCCGTGTTTGCCCCACGTCTCATGTTGTGAAGCATGGGAAGATGGGATGAAAGAAGAGTGAATTGAACTTACAGATTCTCTCCCCATGGACCGTTGGTATGTGTGAAATCACATGAATCCGACACATGTTGAGCGTATTCTGCAAGTGTACTGTTGTATGTCAAAGGTCCAGCACCTATCTCATCAGCTTTGACGATATTGGAAGAGTGAAAAGTTACCATAGGCAGCTCGGAAATCATTGTGCAATTTCAAGATGTATTCCTCAAAACTATCATCCTCGTCGGGAATTCCAACTCCAGATGAAGTCGGTTCCGCAGACGGAGAGGTAGAAGTGTCTGAAGTTGAAGTTTCACTTGAAGCTGAGGAAGATGAAGAATGACGATGTTTGCCAAACCAGGATTTTAAAATACCAAGACCTTCAGCGATATCAGATGGGATGGTCGAAGGAAGGGCGGACGCAGAAGGTGTAGGAGCATCACGAGGTTTCATATCTTGCATTTTGAACTGAGGGGGTGGGGCGGTATCACGAACTAGAGGAACTCCGTGTCTTCCATGATGAGGACGAGCGTCGGCAGAGAGGGCGAGAAGGGGAAGGAGAGTTAATAATGAAGTAGCGAGCATTTCGATAAGTTTATACGACTATATAAACGATGGTCGACGAGTCCAAGTACAGATGGAGTTAGATATTGTGATGTGTGTGTTAAAGATCGATGTTGGATAAAGGTATCGAGTGGCGATGGTATATGAGGAAATGAATTGATATCACTTGTACGAGAGATGTCAGTGGCGTGTATCTTGAATATCCAACAAGTTAAGTAGTTAAAAGTATTCAACGATGAAGTCAGTAGAGAATCAAAGTGGATCAGTGAGACGATGCGTCAGGGGTGGAGCACCCAACTCTACAGCGAGACAACTTTCAACCCTGTTCTCCCAAAAGCCTCAACTTCGGAGTATGTTGGTGTCGAGTAGATCACTCAGGGCGTGAAACATTCTTGTTCACGTTGTATTATTCCTTAACACCTAAGTGATTTAAGTTCGTCTGGACATTTAGCTCTGTGTAGGTAGCTTACAGCTTTTACTCCACGAGTAGTCTTTCAATTTTGAGGGAAAGAAGTCAAAGAGGTGGAGTGGAATAGGCGGGAGATGGTGAAGGAGTTGATTGAGTGAAATTACCGGATGCGGAAGTTAGAAGTATGAGTTTGGTTCCTGATTCAACCTCACCCATATAAACTTTGACATTTCTCCTTCTCTCTTTACCCCTTACTTCTCTCTCTTTCGCTAAGCCGCTGACCGCATGCAACTTATCCGCTGCAGGAAGCTTGTGGATGTAGAGGAGCTCTTCAATCATCATGGATTCGGTGCCACCACGACAACGAAAAAGTAGGAATATGACGATCAATGACGATTGTTCCGATTCACCATGACGCTGTTGACGGCATATTGTTTATATGCTTTTCCGGTATACTCGGTGGTTGAATGGTGCATGGTGCACGTTACGACGTGTGTTTATTCTTGTCAACGATGGGGCCGTGGGGATCGTCTATCACACATGCGATCATCCGGTCATGAGATGTTTGTGGTTTGGTGAGCATGGTCATTTCTTTGATTCCGTTTCATCACCACGTATGTATACTCGTTCAACGATGTTCATTTGACACATGTCTTTGGAACGTTTGAGAAAGCTCAATAAATATCTAATTGTGGTCAAGATCAATGTCTCTCGCTGGCTTTGATGGGTGTAGTATAATGGAAAATGTGATGATGGAGGTCGAAAGCATCTTATCATTCGCATCGATTTCTCTAACTTATTGCTAAATATTTTTACCTTGACTTCTCAGTATACTGATGGAAACGTTTTTACTTCGGATTACTTTATCTTACTCAGTTTTCCTAATTTTCTCCTTGTTCTCAATCGTCCGATTGTCCAATCCTCCAGTACTCCAATTCTCCAAATTCTCCAACCTCCAACCTCAGCCACCATCCACCTATAGCGACCCAACCCAGCTCCTCTCAACTCACAATTCGCTTCACCTTTCATCCTTCCCTCGTCACTCAATGTCCATGATGACCACTCCCAACCGCCGGACTGGAACTAGGTACCACACTCGACGTACTCGATACGACATCGGAACTCGAACTACCTGCCTCAAAACTTGTCGAGTGATGATGGGTCGACGACGGACTTGAGAAAGTCGGAGTCGAGTAAGAATAAGTATGCGACGAATGAGTGAATGAGGCTTTATCCGAGGCAGTGACCGTGGTAGATGGGATGACAGAGAAGTTATGGTGAGAATGAGTGGGTAAGGTGATATTGATTTTCGGTGTTTCGGAAGGGATGATTTGAGAGTGAGAATGAGTGAAGTTATGATGATCCGATACGTTCACTCCCCAACCGATGGAGATGTTGACATTGGACGGAGTGGGGATGACGATCAAAGTTTTGTTGGGTGCGAAGGAATGATGCGAGGGAGTAGTCAAGTTGTACGTATGAGTTGGGAGAGTGAAGTTGTGAGAATGAGTCGGCAAGGTGAAATTGATAGAGTGAGTCGGAACAGTAAAGTTGACCGAATGGGTAGGTAAAGTAAAGTTGACCGAATGAGTAGGTAAAGTGAAGTTGACCGAATGAGTAGGTAAAGTGAAGTCTGAAAAAAACGAAGGAAGTGTGATATTCTTCAAAAAAGATGGTAAGGAGATAGGATGAAAACGCTTTTCCATCTTGACCGGTGCGGCCATGACCAAATTCAACAGGGTCAAGAAAGTGAACAAAGAAGCTAACATGGTGTGTATGTCTTCTTCTTCTTTTGCTTATCTTTGAAATGGAAATTGAATCCCAGAGAAGTTTATCTTGTTGACTTGTCGTAGGGCTGTGTAGTTGTGAGTATCGGATTACAAAACGATCGTTCTGGGGTTCGTAAGTTGAACAGGAGGAATAAGTAAGAAACGAGTCTGAGGAGATGTGTGAGAAATACATGTTATATGTTATTTCTATTGATCTATTTCTGACCGTGAGTGATATGGTGGAATGTGATACTTGTACAGTATAATTAGTGGAGCTCTCCGCAGTAAGTCAGTGAGACAGTAAGGTCGTTCGGTCGTTAGAACTATCAGCGAGAATGAAGAAGTGTTGAGGTGGAGAGTGGAGTTTGATAGTCTATAAGTCTGTTTCACGTTAGAATTCTGACTGCTTTACTGCGAGCTTTCAATCAAGGTATGAAGGGAAACCCCTAGGCGATCGTTGAGTGTAGTCGTACTGAAGAAAGAACGAGGAGGGGAAGACATGACAGACCGGGAAATCCGGATGGAAAGATTACCAAAGTCGGAAAAGAAGATTGAAGAGGTACGAAGCTACCTACGGGTGGTGCCTTGGTTCGATTTCGATCGATCGATGACGTCGAATGGGAGAGAGACGCGGCAACTTTCTTGTAATGGGGCTATCAGCTATGGTGCGGGGGAGGAATTAAGGTGCTGTGATGATGCGATGATGCGATGATGTTGCTATTCTAAGCCTTGACGACCAGTCCAGGTGGTCCGAGGTCTGACTGCGGTCCATAGGCAGAAAGTCTTAGTTATTCAGCTCGACGGCCACGGCCGACAATGGCACGAGTGAAAGTCAATCGGAAGGATAATTGTGGGACCCAAGAAGAGGGTTCGAAGGGTAACGAGAGGTAGTGATACATTTTATCTCGTCTTTTTCGAAGTACTCTTACGATACAAATACAATACACTACTTATCTGACATGAGATGGTGCTACAACGTGTTGAATGAATGAAAAAGTTGGATTTTGAATTTTGAATGAATGTGTACTTTTTTTCGTCATCGTCTTTTCCTCTCCTTCATTTTCCCTCCGGCTCTCTCTTCCTACGTTTGGCCTTCACTCCCTTCCATTTCCCAATCAGACAAGCTCCCTCCCTCCCGCTCGTCATCGCCTCAGCGCCTGTCTGATCTTAATTGCTGAGGGAATGCTGATCCTACACGACACGCTGAAGCCTAACGAGGCATCAACCAACCTTTTTTCACCCCCATAGGATCCACAGCCTCATAAGAATGACTCAAAGGTGTCAACGGAGTACCGGGTACACTCTCTTCTCTAGCACTGGGACTTACAGGTCCTCTAACCCATGGAGTAGGAGGACGTTTCCCTTTATTTTTTTCTCCACTGTCGATGATTTCATCAAGGGAAGAAATTGAGAAACTGACAGATTTGGATTTACGTTTTTCCCTTTTCTTGAGTCCTTCTTGAGAAAAAGTGATTTTAGGTACTTCTAAAGTCGCCATAGGACGAGGAGAAGGTAAAGGGGAAGGAAGAGAAGAATGAGCTGATGGGAGTGGAGAAGGGATTATTTGAATAGGTGCTGGTGTATTGGGAAGATTACGAGGGAAAAAGTAGATAGCTCCGAGAAGAAACAAAACGTCGAATAAAGTGCTGAGAAGATCCATCGTGATGTGATATTCTTCGAGTTGTCACTGATGATAATCCACGAGTTGCAAGATGGATATACCACTAAATCTCGGACAGTGTATATGGCTCAGAGTCAACTACTGATCAGCTCAATCTACCACCATAATTGTAGTGCTCAAGAGATGAGTATCTGATACTCACATCAGATCTTTGGGTCCAGCCCGATTTACAGCTAAACTATTCTTCCCCTCCACAATGTTGAATAATAAATCGAGGAATTGACAGGAAAAAGACGTACGAGATATTCCTGATCAATTCAAGATGAGACCATATAACTACACCCATCCGTAGCTCCAGTCAATATCGACGTCAACGCTCAAAGGACATTCAACAATCTCCCTGTTACACCTTCCCCCGACGTGTCGGGAGACGTCGATCCATTCTTCATATCCCCCAATCGGGTCCTTTGAGTGTAAGGGTGATCATACGCGACATATAAAACCAGTGAATCTCCATTGGTATCTTTTCGGGCGGTGGGGCGAGCGGACGAGATGAAGTGCGAGTAGAATGGAGGGAGAAAAGGGGAAACGGTCTGTTATCTGTGTGATCGTTTAGTACAGGGCCAAGCTGATGAACAGAGATCAGAATTTGAAGGGTGTATCATGTTAGTATCAGGGGTTCTGGTTCCGGTAGAAGAAGGGACATCTTTCGGATCTTCGGAGATCGGAGAGGATGACGTCGAATTTGGGATCGGAAACTCACTAGCTCACTAGCTTGATTAGAGCCTAGATTTCTAGACTGAGTAAGGTAACGATCATCGTAAGGTCGGTAAATGAAACCGAAGCGATATTCAAGTCCGATCCGAGGGTTGTTACTTTGCGTCGGGAATACTGACACGCTTCCTTTTGGTGGACTTGGACGTCTGCTCGCGGGAACCTAAAGGCAGAGGGAATGATCGTTGTCGATATTAGGGGAGATGATATTGAGTTTCGATATTGTACGATATATATCCGAATGTCCTACTCTGTACCTACTGACTAATGTAGGCTAGTATCAATCCACGCAAATCTTCACCTCTTCATCGGGTCTTATTCGCGTGCAGATCGTATCGCTTGTTAGCTGGGGCGTCGAGGCGAGGGAGACTAGTGTCCGGGTCTAAGTCACCTTACCTGAGTGACACTGACGGTGGTATTCGGAACCTTTGACATCTCGTCTAAAGGATATCCTAGCTTATTCCGATTTTGCGGATCGCTCGCTGCAAACGGCGTATGGCGTGGTTCTAAATGGGAGATAGATGACCGAATCTCGCGCGACGTTGACGCTAAACATCTTCGCGATACGCTTCGGTGTTCGGTACGAGATTTCCATCGGGACTTAGGACCTATTGGCCATCGGGGAGCGGATCAGATTATTAGGATTCTTGGTCATTCCTTCCTATGACCGAACGGTGGCCGGTGGCAATGCGAGGGTAAAGGGAAGAACGTAAGCGAGGTTGAGGAAATCCCTGTGTTTCGTGACTTCTTTGTTAGAGACTACACTATTCATGACTCGACTTGTGGGACAGACGATAATAGTAGGAATGTCAAAAAAGTCGGCGGTGAAAGAACCGGCTAGACCGGAATGGGATGAAAGATGGAGGAATGATCTATGGATCACATGGGGTGAGTCTGAGGTTTGTTCATCTGTCTGAGGTGTTTTTCACCGTTTATGATGTGAGAGAGAGTTGATGGATAGAATATATGTTTCCAGAAGAAGAATCGTGGAGTCTATCGTCAGTAATACTTCGCCAGAAACTTTGTAAATGACTGACTTCACAGGGATTTGGAAGAATTCCAAGTGGACAACTTACTGGTATCTGTGAGTTTGCTTGAGGTATGACGTTTGACTCGATCTGAAATCTGATCAGCAGGAGGTCTCATGTCATGAAAGAATGTGAGATAAGACTCGCCTTTTCCCAAACTACCTCACACAACCTTCACCTCATCTACGCTGCTAGGGTATCTCCGTTCGGTAGACAATTCAAACTCTTTCGTGTTGAAAAAGCCGACAAAGTAGGCTCATATTCCCGTACAACCTTTCACCCGAAACGCAAAACGACTATCTTCAACAGTTTTTACCTAAATTGGTCTGGGTGAGTCTCCTTTTGGTTGGATATCAGAGTATTGTTCGAATCATTGACACACAGGAGTGGTGTTTCTGGCACGACCGGCACGTCTTGACTCCCCCCCCCCTTTTATGAACTTCACTGACATATAGACGAGTGACATCTCAAGATTTAAATGGGAGAATACAAACATTGATCACAGACCTACTTCGCGCATACCATTTTGACATCGTAAGTCACTCAATGATGCTTGTCTAGGTCGTCGTCTACTGGCGTTGTTTGAGGAAACAGAGCTGAATGATAGTATAAGAAAAATGGGTTGTTCGACGCTAGATGGTTGCTTCCCTGTGCCAGAGCAGTACGTGAGGTGAGTCTCTAGTATGAGGAATGATTGATAAGGAACTCTATACTGACTTTAGCGTGTATTCCCAGAATTGATAGGTCGACCATGTCGGGATGAATATATTTGAGATCAGGGATCAAAGGGTAATGAGTGATGGTAGATGATAGAGACCTCATGTCTGTCGACAGTGTCGAAGATTGTTGTATGCACTATCTCATGTCTTCCAGTGCTCGAAGGGTCAGTTGCGAAGTCTATCCCACGATTACCTTTCGATAAGGATGCGATACAGAAGTACTTATAGAGGGCAAAGAGGCAAAGTTGAGGAAGAAGAAAAGATGTCAAATCTCAGGCACCATCTCGTTTTCTTATGAGAACCATTCCGATTTCCTCCCTCCTCTCTCCATCATACCAAACCGGCTCCCGACAAAGTGGTCAGTATATCATCATAGCGTCTCGGGCGAAGAGCAGGTGTACTGCAGGATACCAGCAACCAACGAAATATGAGACCACGGATTTTACCTGTCTTAACCCTTGGACTCCTCGCCTCACCTATTTCCGGTATATCCAACACTCACTCGGATAACCAGAGACCGCTCGTCCTCCCAGCACCACTTTTGACAAATTCGGAGAGCGCATTAGATCGGTATGACGGAGAACAAGTCTGGAGAGTGAACTGGGAAGATGTTGAGGATAGAGACAAAAGAGAGTTTATGAGTCGACTCGAGGTGAGTTTTATTAGATCCATCAACATGTTCAAAAATAACAAATCTTCACCACTTTGACCATTCCATCCCAATCTTTTAGACATGCTATCTATGAGTATGACTAGCTAGTTTCAGTCTGATTGACCTGACTTCAACTTGTCTACGTTATCATACGAAAGGTCCAGGTATTGCCAAGCCACTAGACGGAGTCTTTGGTGGATGAGTGACTCATAAGGATGAAGCTCATGGCAGTCATTGAACCTGGATATCTGGCAAACTACATCTTCCACTTTAGACCTTCGTCTCCCCTCCTCTCATCTGGATCACCTACATTCTCTCCTCCCACCCTCTGCATCGGCTCAAATACATATTTTGAACCTTCAACAGTTGGTCGATGCCACTCGTCCTGATTCTGCTAAGCCCGATAAAGATTGGAATCTGGACTCTTTGAATTCGACCTTTCATTCCGCATATCACAAGCTCACAGAGCTAGAGACGTTCGGAATGAAGCTGGTGGAAAGATTCGAATTTTTGGATAAGATTGAGATTGGGAAAAGTTGGGAAAGGAGGAGTATCTGGGGATATAGGGTGAGGAAGGATACATCAGACTCCAAAAGCTCGGACGAGGGGGGTGGTGGGTCTGATACTGATTCATCTGGTGGGAGAAGGAAAAAGGGAGGTAGTAGAAGAGGCAGAGATGTGAGGGGAGAGAAGCAGGAAGAGGAAGAGGATAAAGTGGAGATTGTCATACAGTCTGGTCAACATGCTCGAGAGGTGCGTTTCTTTTCTTACAGTATCATGCCCCAAACCGTCTATGAACACCTTTTTCAGACGGTTCATCTTTTCATCCCCCCCTTCTGACACTATACGATCAGACAATTCGACACGATATTCAGGACTGTACTTTCGTCATCGTCTTAAACGAAGGGAACACTAATCGGATCACAAGAAGAATATAGATACTAACGTAATCAGTGGATAGGTCCATCAGTGGCTCTTTATTTCCTCCACTCTCTCGCCATCGGTTCAGAGGATCCAGAATCCGTTGTAACCCAATTATTAGAAAGCTTCACTTTCACAGTGGTACCCACTATCAACCCCGATGGGTATGTGTGGAGTCATGAGACAAGTAGAATGTGGAAGAAGAATAGACAAGATGTGGGAGGTAAGAGGAATTGTAAAGGTGAGTTTGTGACTGTTTCACACACCATCTCCTCCTTCCCAATTTACCGCCCCAAATCCACGAATTCTTCTCTCTCTCTCATACCCACTCACTAGTCGGCTGTTTACCAGTCCTCACTCTGACTAAGTTTGTGCTTCGATATCAACTCACCAGACTTACTGCTCGTTTCCTAAACTTTAAACCTCATTTTTGTCAGTAAAGACAGAACTGATGTCCAGGCATCGACCTCAATTCCAATTGGGGATATCATTGGCGTCCCCCTCACTCCCCTAACCCATGTTCCGAGACATTTCCGGGTAATCACGCATTCGAAGCTCCTGAGCCAGCTGCCATGGCTCGATACATTTCCAACGGGTCTTCAGATGGGTTAAGTGGCGGAGAGGCTGTAAGGTCTTTTGTGGATTTACATTCTTATGGTCAACTTTGTAAGTCCCCCTTCCCCTTCGTCATATCTTCCTTACCTCCACTCCTACCCCCCTTTACAGAAAACTTCTCTCTATTGCAACAATGCATTTGTGAAAGTGTTTGATATGATGATGGCAAGACCAATCACTAACATATAGTCATGTTCCCTTTCGCATACTCTTGTTCTACCTTCCCACCAGACGCAGAAATGCTCATGGAGGCCGCTTTGGGAGTATCAAAAGCCATGCGTACGACTTCTGGAGAAAAATATCAAGCTGGTCAAGCATGTTCCATGACTTTTCGGTAGGTTTTTCTTGTGTTTCTTTCTTGGATTTTCATCTCGTATATATTATCGTCCTTTATCGTAACCCTTCTTATCTGCGTCGTCGTCATTCTCAGAATTGCCCTGGGTTACTTGTTACCGGAAATGTCTGTCTAACGAAAGTATCGACTTGAGTTTAAGTATGAAGTGGGACTTTGATTTCAAGCAGTGAAGATGAGTGTGGTTGTTGCGGGACTGAAGAGGGACCGAGGGTGAAAGTCACCTCCGGAGTTATCTATCGCCGGAAGCAGCGCATATTGGGAAACGACAAAATACTGATGATAGCGCTCCTGGAGATTCAATCGATTATGTGTACGGAGTGACAGATGTTAGATGGACCTATTCTGCCGAATTGAGAGATACAGGTACAGTGAGTTTCTTTCTTTCTTTCTTGCTGCCTTCTTTCTCATTTGTAATTTTTCATTTTGTTGTTTTGTTGTCTCCCTCCCTATCCGTTTTCTTCTTCAACCCCATATTAGACACCTCCATGTTCATGACCTACTTAATCATCGTTCATCGGAATACCAGCATCCACAGCGACTTTCTTGTAGCAGGAGAACACTTGAAATGTGATAGTACATCTTCACTAAGCTAACATTTACTACAGTATGGCTTTATGCTCCCTCCCGACCTCATCCGACCTACAGCCGAAGAACTCACTTCAGGTCTGATATTCTTAGCCAAGTTCATATACAAAAGTGAGATTGAACGATAATTCCCCCTTCTATTCCACTCCGGTCACTCATCCTTTTAGGTGTACATACCATCAATAGGGCCAGAGTGGATATTTGTGTTATTTGCTTTCAGGTGTTTTTCACATAAAATATGTGAGGCGATAGTTGTATGAGATCCGAGTATAGTTGGATAAACGAGATGCATTCAAATTCATATTCCCCAGATAAACGTATATATGCATAATGGTGATATACAAAGGTTTGCAAGATCGTGAATTCGTTTCATCGTTCGTAAGACCAAGAAAAAAGGAGAGAAAAGAGGATATTCAACGTTTCGACGGGTTGGTAATAATTGACCGAGCAAGATCTCTAGCCCGTGCGGCAGAGAGGAAAGAAGCGTATGACCAAGTTAAATCTCTCGCTCCGACTTCATGACCATCGTGTCTGTTCTCAGCTCTGATTCAATGTGTTTCCTCATGAAAAAGTTCCCTGTGTGATGAAACAAACTCAAAATGTTTACATGTCCTACTCTGAGGATGAAAGATAATTTACAGATTTCACCTGTCACGGGTATTTGTTGTTGAATGAACGTGAGAAAGTAGATGAGACCATGTAAGTGTGAAAGTTGAAACTGACCGATCAATCTCCTCTTTCATCCTTCCCCCTACCGCGTACTTCTTCCCTACATCCATATAAGCATCCCCTACCGCAATCAAAGCTTTTGTGGCACGGTCAAACATTCCGTCAGACGACCCTGCTTTCCATATTGCTGTATGGTTGAGGGTTGCGGATGGTACACCCAAAATGTCCGCCCATACATCTACGGTGGTGTTGGAAACTTGGATCGAACCTTGGGAATGGAAGTCTGATTGGGCCGAGTAGAGGACTTGAGCGGTAGAGAAGGTACAGATGAACCTGAGGGTAAGTATCCCTCATCTCAAGCGCCCTACTTGTCTATGCTCCCTGTCCTCCCTGGCGAAATGAACTCCGCTCAAGAAAATGACAAACTTCAGGGGTAGAGGACGAGGTAGTCAAGAAGAAAGGGGATTTCAAGGGAAGGAGGGGAAGAGGAAGATAAAGTGAGGGAAGAGCATATTCTACTCACCATGGATTCCCCTGTCCTATACCCACACCATTATACACATCCTCCGCATATCTCCCCACAGCCCAACCGTTCGTCCATGACCCCTGATTGATCTGATAAATACCTTCAAACGATTTTACATACTTCCATACCGTTTCCAACGATTCAGGGGCAGAGACAGGTAAGATATCCCCTCCAGCATGAATGAGAGAAAGTAAGAAAGCGCAATCCAGTCCAGTCCGATCTCGTCTCAAAGGGAAATAACCTCTAGATTTTACCTCGAGAGACCTTTTCTCCGGGGATTTAGCTGGAGTACCGGTGGTGGACTTGTTGGTGAATATGTGATTGGATGGAAGATTTGCAGTCCAGTATTCAGGAGTGAGAAAGTCTGGGAGATAAGTTGCAAGAGTTTTCGATTGAGAAATGTAGTAATCTGCAGCACCGGTGTCGTTCAATCGACGTGCGAGAATACTTCCTGCTTGTAAAGCACGGTAAGAGACGAGAAGAGTGAAGAGGTGATATCCGTTTCTGCGATCAGATCATATTGCCGTGAATCCCCCTTCGCACAGATGGTACACATCTCTGCAGATTGAACAAGAATGGACCGAGACCCATCAAAGACTCATCGAATACGGGGACGACACCGAAGGGTATGGGGTCTGAAAGACGAAAACAAGGGAAAAGAGAGTCGTCGATGGGAAGTAAAACTCACAATTCTTCCCATAGGTCAAAACCAGATTTCGACCAACTTCCCCCTACCTCCTCCAAATCATTCTTAATTACACTACCTTGTTCACGTAAGCTGTGAGGGTCCCATAGATGTTTGAGCACGTAAGTGATATCCGTGGGCCATGCACGATCGAGAAGATAGTGAGCATAAGGTATCAACGCCAAGGCTCTAAGTGCTGGGCCGTCCCTTCTGATCAGTTTTCTTTTTGCATTCCACTCGTCGGTTTCCAACTGATCCGCATCATCGAGACTGATCAAGGTGTGGAAACACTATCACCCATTCACTAGCATCAATGCCGAGTGACGATCCCATAGTGATGGATTGATGAGGGGATGGCGAAGAATGATAGATTTGACTCACCTCTGTGGTCTTCCCCAAGCCCCGGTGAATGCCGTCCCATCGACATGGAACTTGGGTTCGCTTAGTCCCCCAGTGAACAGATTGCCAGAAGGATTTTGGACCACTTGCAAAGAAGCTTGGCCATTGACGTACTCTCTCAAAAGCGGTTCTAGACGTACGTCTCCTTCGCTCATGTTATACTTTTGTGGTGCGAAGTTCCACGGTGTCAAATATGGAGTAGGTAGGAAGTCTGCGAGAAGGGTTGAGATGGTCAAGGCGGCATCTCTTGTCCAAGTGTACTTTTTCATCAACCAAATTATCTCATGGATTTATCTTTGATTACATTCCTGTTGAAGCGACATCTGGATGAAGAAGGAGTCGAGTGAAAGCACTTGAAGAGATCGCAGAAGGTTCTGAGATAGATGGGAGAAGGGATGGAAATCACTCACATAATAATCGGGTTCATCTTGATATTGTCCCCAACTAGGAGAAGCAACTATCAAACCTTCTCCTGCACCTAAGATCGGTCCTATATTCCTTCCTATACGTTGTCTCGCTATGGTCCTTTCTGATTGTATCCAACTGTCCAGACCAGCATCTTGAACATAAGCTCTGACCAGTCCAAGTCGATCAGGTCGAGAGAGTGCGACACAGATGAGAGCAGTGAGAAGAGCGAATAACATGAGTCCACCTCCGAGTAATGTTTGCCAGTTGAGAGGTAATGTTTGCCGGTTGATAATGAGAGAGCGGTGGGGAGTTGATTTGGTTTTAGTGATAGAATCGGGACTAGGGAGGGCGGGGTTGGTGGGGATGGGGGAGAGGTGACCCGCATGACCCCGGTGGGGCCTGTGGCCGTGAGGATCGTTTGACGATTCTTTAAGATCAGCGTGTCTCATTCTGTTCGCTTGAGCCTGGTGAACATAGATTCTCAACGTACTATCAGTTGATCAGCGGGCAGTGTCATACTGTGAAGAAATGATAATAAGTGATGAAAGACATAAGCTCAGAGTCTGATCAGAGAAAGGAGAAAGAAGAATACGGAGAGGAGGAAGAGAAGGAAGGAGGGACGGGAATCATACTTTTCAACCAAGATCTCACTTTCTCATCACTATCACCGCCACCCACTAACTCATCCTCATGTTGACGTTTCAAAAGAGGTACGGTAGGTTGTAACTTTCCATGTAAATCTTCTTCTGAAATCTCTGATTCTGACATGTTGAGGCGAGCGACCATATCACCATCGCAGATCTCAGATCTCATCGCTTCGGTCCGACGCGTGGGGGTTAACTTCGGTTATTCGTTTAACCGGAAGATCCACCACTCTCTCGATCTCTTGCCTGATCCCTGATGACGTCTTTCATCCTTCATACTCGTACCAGCATAGCGCGTAGCTAATCGAGTTATGTTATAAATCATAGAGCGTCGAATCATATATACAGTAAGGATAGTAGTGAAGTGTGAAGAAAAGTAATTCTGATGTCTAGAAAAATCAGGTTGTTTTCTTCATCCACTCGACTAAAGTATCCCATACAAAAACACCAAATTAACAAAATGGCAGAAACACAATCACAATCAACTGGTATGTCACACATCCTTCCCTTGTCTCTCATACTTTCGACCCTTAATCATCTTCTATACATTTACTCACAATGTGACCAGAGGAAAAGATGGAAGTGAGGGGAAGAAGAACGTTTCAGGAAGAAGGAGAGATAGGTTTGAGGAGGAACAAGTTGTGTTGATAGTTAGATAACACTACGAAAGTCGAACAAGAACCTGTCCCAGCGGAAAAGATATCAGAGGAAGATAAACGTCAAGAACCTGATGCTGAGGAGAATGCAAGAAAGGTGAGTTCCGAATTACTAGGTTCATGATATAACAAGCGACTCGCACTGGTGATGTGTGTTTGGCTTGAAGTTCGCTGATTACTGTACAGATGGAAGAGAAAGGAATGGACACACTTCCTACTCAGACCTGACTGTAGCACACAATTCCTGTGATTAGGCAAGTTAGCACGTGGGGTAGAGACGATGATGAAGAATACAACAACATGCATGTCATTACAACATGAGACAACACGAGTAAGTAGCACAGCGACTATACAGTATCAGACTACAGAGGAGGAACGACACAATAGCCTAGACCAATCAAGACCCCCGACTAGCACAATCCATAACGTCTTCTCCTTCTTCCACATAACGTTTTCTCTCTCTTCTCCAAGGTTCCCAAACATCACCGTATTTCTTCAACAAACGTCCTAGTTCTGCCCTCTGTTCAATCTGTGTCATCAATCATCGATGCTCAGTATATTTATTTTGACCCTCATCGTTGAATAATTTAAGGATCATTGGCAGATGTAGCAGATTTGTACAGGGTCACAAGGAAACCGACAATCACACGACATGGGATGACGAGGGAGAAAAGAGAGAACAGTCTACTCACAATGACATGAGGCACTTCTTCTCCTTTGGCAACCGCCCAAACATCATTGAACATTTCTCCCAATTTCGGCTTTGGTAATTTCTCCGCCCTCGCAAACGCTTTCAACACATCCGCTTTGTTCTTCTTCAACAAATCATTCTCTTCCCTCTCACTCCACCATTCTTTATTCACCAAAAACGCTCTAAACCTCTGTAAGGGATTATCCACCACGGTCCATTCTTGTACTTCCTCTACGGGTCTATACTTGCTCGAATCATCACTGGTGGAATGATGTCCTACTCGATATGTCATAGCTTCCACCAAAACACCTTTTTGACCTTCCACCGCCCGTCGACGAGCTTCACGGACGGCGGTCAGAACGGCAAGAGCGTCGTTACCGTCTACGCGGAGGGTGTCGAGACCGTAAGCAGGACCTCTGGAGGCTATACCGTCTCCGGCGTATTGATCAATGATGGGTGTGGAAATGGCAAAGCTGGAAATGAGCTATTGTTCTCAATATTATGGTCAGAATGGCTGTCGGCTGGAAGAGCGTCATGGTTTAGAGAAATTAGACGGAGACGTACCCGTTGTTGCGACAGAACCAAATGCATGGCCCGCCCAAGACAGAGTTCATCCCCAAAGCAGCGTGGAAATCTCCTTCGCTAGCGGCACCTGTCCGTCAGCACGTCTTTTTCTCCAAACAACAGCGAGGGACGCCGTACCACTACTTGAAAGACGAAAATTAGTTGCAACTGTAGCGTTCAGGGGATGAAAAAACTCACCATCACCAAAGTAACATATGACACAATCACCTTGTCTATTTTCGTCCAATTTCAGAGCGTATGCCACTCCTGCGGCCTGCGGCATTCTCTCTGTCAGCTTTCATCGTAGCGATCCATGAACAGCTTGATTTGTGAGTGAGCAACTCACTGTGTGGCTAAAGGACTGGTAATGGTATGTAACCCCACTTCAGGAGCTGAATAATGGACAGGCATCATACGACCTTTTGACCCTAGATCTTCGACGTTTCCAAAACATTGTGCCATGAGGGAGTTTAGGGGGAAACCACGGTATAATAAGGCAGCACTTTCTCTCTAAATCATCAGTTTACTCAATTTATCAAGTTGGCCTTTCAGACACCCACTCCTACCGAGGTCGGAGTGCTGTTTATAATGGGGATAGACGCAAAAAAGGTCACTCACATATTGTCCGAACATCTCATCCCCACTTCTCATAGCTGCAGCACTACCAACTATGGCTGCTTCCTCTCCCGCACATTGCATGTAGAAACTGATTCGACCTTGTCTTTGTGATTGGTATAGAACATTATCGACAACGGGGATGAGGGTCATTATTTTGTACCTATACATCAGCGATGTCCGTTTATTTGCAGGGAACTGACATGGCGATGGCTTCATCTTGGGTTATCTACTATCAGCTCTCTCCCTCGATTTGTCACATTATCCCAATGCATTTGAGACCGCAGCAGTGTTTCATTTCTCGTCCAGAGATTCAGCGCTCAGAGAGAGTACAAGTAGAGCAAGAGACAGACGTGAATGACAGTTGGAGATGTGTTTGACATACCTCTGGTATCATTCCATCCTTTACCAAATTCCCCTCTTCGTCCAATATCCTAAACGTAGGTATAGTCTGACATGAGTTCCACGCCTTACCGGAAAAAAAGGGAAGAAGATACCTTAGCAACGGCATTAAACCACCCCATTTCTTTAGCCCACCAACTCTCATGCATCCCTCGTCTCAATGGACTACTCCTTCGTCCCTGGCTCGCATGTCTCTCGGCCGGACTACCAGGTACATACAAAGGTTTCCCATCACCTGTCTCCGGATCTGGCTGGAAAGAAGGATCAAGAGGTGTAGGATGAGGTAAAGGGGTAGAAGTGGGGGTTTGGTAGTGCTTAGGAGGAATGTTAGGTGGTGGACCGGTGATCTGATGATCAGCGCGAATCCAGGTGATGGGAAAGTTGAGCTTACCAGAGGGCGGGAGAGGATATGTGGTTGTCGTACTTTGACATGACGGGAGATGATACAGATCTTGATGGGACGGAGCATGAGGTATGCACAAGAACGGGAAGGGTATGGTGACAAGTAAGTACAGACGCTGGGTGGAGATGAGGAATGGTGGGGGTAAAGTCAACAATCTCGGACATACGGACATGTTCCGGTTATAAGTTGAGTAACGAAGCGAAGCCGAGGTCCGAGCGGGGCTAGCGGGGTCATGTTGGAGTAAAGTATATACACAAGGTCAAACATACACTCCTCACGCCTCAATCATGACTGTGAGGTCGCACGTATTGCACTTAGCAGCTAGTAGCAGAGTAGCTAGCATCCCAGCCCGGCAGCCGCAGGTGGCCCTAGTGGCCATACGGTATACAGGTCCAAAACTACAAGAGACCAGAGGGGCACTGTCATTTGCTATACCTCAAGATTCGGAGGTAACACGATAAGTCAATCAAACGTTTTGAGTCGAAGCCTTAGAGTTTCTCATTCTTCGTCTTCATAAAGGAATTTATGGATACAGGTACAGTACATGCAGTAATTAAGAAGTGACAGACGATTCCTATGAACACAGAACACTTTTCTCATTATCGTTATCATTTCCTTTGACCCACGTCTCTCCCTCGTCTCGTTTTCTCTCGTGTATCCGTCTCTAATCACCGCGTATATCGTGTATCACACATATCCAACGCCATCACGTTCCCTACCATTCATGATCATTCCACTCCCCAATTCTTCCGGATGACTCACAAGCTGACCTGAACTATATCAATAAGGTCCCCCTGGCCATCTTCCACCTCCTTCACCTTTCCCAATCTTCCAACCTCCAAAACCCACCAGAATCCCGAAGATGACCAACCCCAACACACTCAACACGATCGGTACGTACGTCCTCCGTCTGCCTAATTCCGAAGTACTGATCAACGGTTGTCGTTCCGGGTCATCAAAACGGCGAACTCGGGTGGAAGGTGTGAAACCTAATTCTGAAGGGGACGGAGAAGATCTATGAGTCGAAGGAGGTGAGACGAAGGTGTTTTCTCTCAAGGGTGATCGTCGTGGTGGGTTGGTACCTGATGCAAAGGAGACTGACATGACGAGATCGATACGCTTTTCATCAGTTGTTATCGCCGTTGGTCGATTGGGTCTCAAAGTTGGAGTTACTGACCTGTGAGACTAGTGACGTCAAAAAGGGTTGAAGGAGATGTTGTATTTATAGCCGATGATGGTATAGTACTTGTTTCAGCAGAGCGTGTGAAGGGTTGGTCAAATAAACAGTTATATTGATATCATGAAGCGAGACTTATCTATCAGTAGGTGTATTACATCCGAGAAAAGAGGACCTACGATGCACAAAAGAGCAGAGTAGGTGGGATGTGAAAGGTGACATTATTTGGCGCATGACATGGCTGGCCCGAGTAAGGGTGTGAAGAGATGAGTATGGCCCGCGCGAAGGGCCATTCGTTTTTTTTTTTTTCCGGAGATTTTTTTTTTTGAGCCGTGATCTTTTTTTTTTGAGCGATCAAACTTTACTCTCAATGATTCTCATCGAGATTCAACTGTACTCGCGGCTTGTGCAGTCAGGTGTTTACCATACGTCACCGCTATGACTTTACATTCTCAATGAGTCTCATCGACATCCAATCATTATCTAACTATTACTGTAATTGTCACCTATTACTACTCATATTCTCTCACTCTCACCCTCTTTACACCTGTCTCTATATAGTTCATTGTCTTCCCCCTTTGTCTTCCCCCTTTGCCACCCGCTGATATCATGGTGAGCGGCCTTCCCATCTATTCCGATTTCGATGAACCTCATTGACAATCAGGATCAGCTCATGACTCCCGCAGACTATCAGGTAGTCTTGTCCAATGTCAACAACTATACAAGTCCTGTGGTCAATTTCATCAATAACAACGAAGTCGTGGAGTTTGATATTGATCTGGCCCCTACTCACATTGATAACATCTCTCGTCTCCTGCTCGACATACGTCATATTGAACTGCATTTACCACCTCCGTTGTATCTCAGAATCTGTGCGTACCTGCAGGACGTCTTGAATCGCCTGGAAGCCATTGAGGATCGACACCTGAAGTCTCTTGGAAATCCTGTCGCTCCTCCAGGCAGGTCATGGGAAATAAGTCCAACTGGTGTGCGGCGATTAGTGATTGAGACGGCTATCCTCGAAGACCTATGTGCAGAGGGCTTCACTGATGGTGAGATCACAGAATTCCTCGGATGTAGTCAGCGAACTATCAAGCGAAGAAGACAACAGCTTGGTATTCTCAAGAGGGAATTTCCTGAGCTTTCTGATGAGGATATAGCTGGTGTGAGTGTATTTTGATCCTCTTGGGGTTGCAACAGTATTACTGATATTCAGTGGGTCTTGTACGGTTTGAAATACGGCAGCGGTGACAAGGGGGAGAAGGGAGTTCAAGCTGGGCTTCAAGAAGTCGGTGTTCGTGTCCGGCGAGATCACCTTAGGCGTGTTCTAAGTCATCTCAATCGAGGCAACACTGGTATTGCACCATATCCTATTGTTCGACGAGTGTATTCCGTTCCCTGTGTTAACGCCATGTGGCATATCGATGGTCATCACAAACTCATTCCATGGAAGATTGTCATACACGGAGGGATAGATGGCTTCTCTCGCATGATGTCATACATCACCTACTTGCCACCTAAGATAGTCTTTTCCCGTGTTCCCACACTTGAAACACATCTGGAACACTTCCCCTGACCCCCTTTGGCCTAGGTTTATTGTTCTTGATCTCCATCAACAATCCCTATTGTCATCTCTTACACTCCCACACATGAAACACCTACCCCTGAACCCCTGTGCCCTTAATCTATTGTTCCCCTGTGTGTTCACATGCTTGACACACTTACCCCTGGACTCCTGTGTCCTCTGTCTATTGTTCCTTGTCGCACCCATGAACCTGTAACACTTACCCCTGGACCCCTGGGTCCTTTGCCTATTGTTCTTAGTTTCACATGTCAGGATTGCCAATTCTCTTGAAGAGGATTGCAAATATGTTTAGCAGTTCTTCCGTAGCTTATTGTTGTAGTTTTGCAGTTCAGCCTGTTTTGCTGTGGATATAAACCCCCTCCAAACAGGTTGTTCCCCACCTATGAATCTCTTGTTGAATCTCATTCTCAACTTGTCAGTCCAGTCAGATCCAGCCTGACATCTTGCAGTTCTCTCAGTTCTCTCAGTTCCCTCAGTACCCTCAGTCCCTTGTCACCCTCTGTATACTCCTCAAGCTCTACGAGCCAGAGACAAGTATTGGGTTACAGCCCCATCTCAGTCACCTTGCTTACCCTTTGGGGATAAGACCCCGCCCGTGACACATGATCACGTTCTTAAGGGCTAGTGATAACAATCGTGCAAGTACAGTACTTGAATCGTTCAGTCAAGCAACACAAACTTATGGCTGGCCCAACCGAATTCGAGCTGATCACGGGAGGGAGAATTGGGATGTGAAGAAAGCCATAGAAACTGTAAGAGGTTTGTCTGAAGTCGATGACCCTCATTGAGATTCATGCTAATGTTACAGGTCTCAATCGTGGTTCGTTCATTCAAGGCCCCTCAGTTCACAATCAGCGCATTGAAAGACTCTGGGTGGATCTTCAGCGTTGGTGCACCAACAGGTATCGTAGGCTTTTTGTGAACATGCAAGAACAATCATTGCTCAACCCCGACAAGTCGATTCAACTGTGGACACTTCATTTCTGTTTTCTCCCCATGATCAATGAGAGTCTAAATTTCTTTGCAAACAGGTGGAACCGTCATGGCATCAGGACTGTCCGGAATAACTCCCCTAGAAAGATCTGGCTCAGAAGTAGGTGTCTTTGGTCTGATAAAATGCCCTTTGCTGATGTCAGATTGTCTACAACTGCAATTCGATCCTCTCAAAGATCCTGTTCGTCTCCTGGGTGACGAAGATGAAGATGATGAATTTCGAGCGCACAGAGACCGGGACTTTTCCGATTATGGCATTGACCATTTCGAACGAGGTGCAACCCATCGGCACAATGAGCGTGATCCCTACGTTCCTCTTGATCCTGTCATTGAATATGTCCTTGATCAGAATGCTGGTATCGCTGGGTTCATGCAGTCGGAGCTTTTTCTTCATCATATAGAGGCTGTGGCCGGAAGCCCCTGGCCCATACCGGACGACTTTGGCGTTCAACGCTACATAAACACCTACCAAGCCGTCCTTGACACTCTTTGTGAAAGATTTTCTGAAATCACAAGAGAAGAATTAGAGAATCTATAAAGAAGGTTACTTCTCATGCATGACTTGTAAATTTCACTTAGATGTCAGAGTTCTCAATGATCCTCATCGATATGTATAGAATCGTATCTTTGCCACTGATCTTCAACTCCGTGAAACGCCGCGGGCGGATGTCAACATCCGCTCCACCCTAATGTATTATCAAGCAATCTCAATGATCCTCATCGAGATTCTCAGAGTCTGATTGAGTTTGCTAACAATTCTTTGAGTTACCCAAATCAAGCATCAATCTGCCACGCGATCAATCAATCAACATGGATCAATCCGCATCCGAAACTGCAGTGAGTTGCTTGTTTTCTTGCTGTACTTTTGCTAATCCGTCTTGGCCACTCTCACCGATGTCCTCACTCAGGCCATACGTGGGCTGGCTGCAGTTACTGCAGCCAACAAGTCATCTGCAGCCCCGTCGACAGCGCAAGAGCCGGCTACGCCATCTTCGGCAAGCTCCTTGTCGTTGATACACCCGGGCAGCATCTCAAGTGGATTGGCACAATTGGGAAACATAGCAAACTATCCGACCCACGGTGTCCTCCAGGGTGTTCATGTTCCTTCTGCAAATGATCACTGGACCGGTAATGTATACACCCCCAATCGTCAGGTGACCAGGCCCCCCGAGCCAGCTGAAATGTCCCATCCACCCTCAAATATGGCGCGCCTGCAGTTGCTCAACCGAAGCAGCGGTGTGGGCCTCTCAAGAAATGCTCCCCGCGGTGGATCGTCAGTCATTGCTAGGTCAATTTCTGCTGGCCAGAAAGGGGCCAAGGGTAGTGTCAAATTGGGAGAAAGACGTCGGGTGAGTGTCATAATGTCAACGTTGTCGAAGTTGCTGATCTGGTGAGATCATGTTGATTCTTGACAAAAATCTAATTGGTATTGATCAACTGCATTTTGGAGGCCCCCACGAATTTGATCTCCTCTGGGATCTATGTGAGAGTATTGGTGCGGTTGTGGCATGCTCGCCTATCTCTCGCGAAGACGGCCCAGCGGAGGTGCAGAAGGCTGTTCGAGCTGCTTTCCCGCAGTATGGTACTTTGCTCTTGAATCATGGGTTTTCGTGAGTCGCAACCTGATTATCTATGTCGTCTTACCACTCACATTGTAAGGTGGGCCACCTTGTCCCGCAATCAGCAATACTTTCTCCCAGCTGCCGACTCAGGAAGTGTCAGTGGTCACCTTCTCTCCGAATTTTACGTCAAGCAGCCTTGCGCCATTATCTATTCGAATTCTGATCATCCAAACCCCAATTTCTCCGTTCGTGTGCGTGAGGCTCTTGCTCCTCGTGCAGAAGAACCCGCTTCGTCAGGTTCGGAGAGCATAATGATTGCCTGTTCAAAGTGCGGTAACCTTTTTGACGCCGGTGTGATTATCCAACATTCACTTGCATGTTCAAAGACGAAGGTGAGTGTGATAGGGTTAGATGTATTGTAGAGGACATCTCTTAATTATCTACAGAAACGCAAAAGCAATCGTGAAGATGGTGCCCCTCTGGTCAAAGACGAACCAACCACACCTTCTCCATTCTCCTACGATGGTATGAGGTCCGACCGTCCTATCATCATTCCAAGCTCCGCCGATAGTACACCCGCTGCCAAAAAAGCAAAAGTCGATAGTGTGGGCAAGGGTAAAAGCAGAGGATCAGAGTCAGTGACGACATCTCTTCATGTGGCTCGCAAACGTCGCCGTCCTCGTCGTTCAGTTCCAAGGATCAGTCTTTCTCCCTATCCTCTGTCCACCGAAAAGCGACCTCGCAATACCCAGAACTCACTGATTGGTAGGAACCAAGACCCTCTCTCCGACATCCTTGAGGGGGGGTCGGGACAGGCCGATGATGGAGACGGCTTTGGTGATGGCGAGTTCAACGAGCATCATTCGTCCCAGATCAATCTTCTCTCCCTTTTCGAAGACGGGGATGACTTTGTTCCGATGCGCTTTCAGCCTGGAGATGAAGAGCCGGTCTTGGCAAGCACATCGGGGGTAGCACCTATCACTGCTGTTTCCTCTCAGACCGGCCGTAAGCCTCTGTTGACTTCATGTTTCCCATGCTGAGTCTTAGGTCGAATGACTCGATCAAGCAGTAGGGCAGCTCCTTCGACCAGGTGAAGATGTGGTCTTGAAAGTAATCCTGACTTTGATTTTAAAATACATGGATAGAAATGAAAATGCAAAGTTCTGTTGGTGATACAGGGGTATTTTATTATTATAGAAGAAACTCGATGACGTTCAGTGAGAATTGTGAACATGTGCCTCTACAAAACCGTATTCAGAAAGTGTCACATCCTAGAACAATCACTTAAGTCACCTTACTCAACTGTTTATTTGTCATTTTTGGCAAATCTCGATGATCCTCATCGACATTGCTTTGATCGTCACTACTGATCCAGACAGTCACCTTGCTTCATCCCCTTTTGGTTCAGTTGTCACTGCCAAAAGCGTCCGGTCACTTCTTCTTATTGGGACAATTAACTGATGGACTGGCTGATACTTGACAAAAAGATTAGAATCTCGATGATGCTCATCGACTTAAAGAAAAGCTCAGGGCTTCCCGCACTGGGTCACTCCTAAAGTCCTTTGAAGGGGCGCCAAAAAGCTCATCAATCCGGAGACAATATGAAACACTCAAGCACCCTTTCGTAATCTCGATGAACCTCATCGAGATTGTTAGCGCCTCACCGAAAGGGGGGGTGTTGCTAGGTAACGAGATCAAGCTGTCATTTGTTTTTTGCATTGTTTTCTGACCAAACAACTTGACTCTCATTGACTCTGTTAGCTGAGATACTTAAGCAACGCCTTTAACGACGATAAAATGAGGAAAGCCCCCAAGAGTTCTACGTCAGCGCTTCAGGATCTTGAAATAGAAGTGGACCAGGTGATTGCTGTCAGGTTGTTTGATAGTTGTGCTCACGAGATCTCAGATTCGACCCAACGCTGGCTGGAGTAAGAGTTCCTGGAAGTCAATTTCCATTACAGGTCGTGGGAGTGCAGGAGAGACGTTGATGGCGTCTAAGTCACCGCAGGAACTGGCTCGCGAAATGGATGAATTGACTGATGAGTGTGAGTTGAGTCAACAGCCATGCGGCTGTGTCGACATGTCAGTAAGCGTCAGCCAGAGTTGACGAATGTAGTGGACCAGAGCTTCCAGAACGAGGGAGGTGCCATCGACGATCTGATGGACTTCCAAGAACATGAGTCCCCTCCTCTCCCACCCACAATCACCCCTCCCCCGCCACCTACCAGTCCTGCCCCGTCTATACGATCTTCGAGGAATGTTGAAACGGATTCATCGGTGGACAATCCAACTCAACGAGCAATGGTGGGAAGATCAGCATCGCCATTATCAAACTCACTGCCGCCTGCGACTACGGAAGGACGTGGTTCGGTACCATCTGTCCAAAATACGACGGCGAATGATATTGGTTTGGTGGACATGCCTGGGGACGATCCGGCGACATCTCAAAATTCTGTGCAAATTATCGCTACCCCTGTCCGCCATTCGAGATCACCCGAGGCACCTGAATCTCACGGTGTGCGTAATGAAGATGATGAGACGATGCGTCCAAGCGACCTAGAGGCCGACAGATCAGAGAGGGAGATCACTCCGCTTCAGAAGATTGAGAATGATGAGATCCATCGTGAAAGTCTGCGAACCGGCGGCGTGGCGGGAACACGGGACGACTCTGAGCCTCAGTCAAAGCGGCGGAAGAGGGGGGATGCTCAGAAAGAACGGGAAAGAGTGCGTGCATGAGCTATTGTCACGAACTACGTCGTAACATCCCTGACAACCACCATCACCGACCCTCCTTTCACCATCACCGTCCTTCCTTTCACCACCACCAACCTCCACTCGAACCACTGAGACCAACTACGGCGAAGTTACGAGAACCAAGAGGGTATTTGTCACGATAACCCCGCCTAGCGGAGAACTACGGCGAAGTTAGGGGAAGGGAACCGAGGGAGAGCAGAACAGGGGAAGTTAGGCGAAGTTAGTCGAAGTGAGCGGAGTAGGATATTGTAACGGTACTGGAAACACGACGACTAGGTCGCAGGTTGGGTCGAACTCGATGGAGGTCTCGTGGAAATCTAGGGGCTCTGGTGCTAATGGATCGTGTCTCCTCTGCAATCGATGTAGCCAAAGAATGATATTGAAGAATCAGCAAAGTTGGTACTTTGCTGATTGTACTATATACTGTCTACAGGTATCCGTCTCCTCTTCTCAGTCCTACTGCAAGCGTCCATGTACATACTCGGACAGGTGAAAAACCGCTTTGAGCAAACCCAGTGGGGAAAATCTCGAAAGGGGAAAACCCGTCCCTACCTACTGCAGCACTGCCTCCAACTCCCGCTTTCCTCTGTCCTAATCCGTCGAACTCGATAGAGTTCCCTCGATTCGTTGTTACCCCGTAACAAGTTTCCCCCCCTGTCTCAAGGATCCTCGCCGAGGATCCTGAACCCTGTAACCAGGTGATGCACATGGATTGTTCTTAGACACCTTTGGTGCGCCCTGACATCATACCCACGCTAGTGTGACGGTTGCCATGAAAACGCGTCACCCGCACGGACCTCCAATGTGATCGAGAAATTACTGACCAAGTTACCTCCCCGTCTTTTTTCTCTTCTTTCCTCCTCATTCTCTCTTTACCTCTTGTTTGTCATTCTTTTTACTTATCTATCATTATCCATCCATATCTTACTCATATCTTAGAGCATCCTTCCAACTCTGACCTGTCTGTGAGCATGTCTAAGCGTACTGTAAGCAATTCTCTTCGAATTCGATGCACTTCCTCCTGTTTATCACTGGCTGACGAGATTAGTTGTCCTCGTCTATCTCTTCTCGTCAAACTCGGGCCTCTACTGTGGCCATTCTCCCCGACGTCGATCCCGAACTTCTCATGCGTCAAACGAAAAGAATGAGAATTACTTCCCAAGCGCCAGTTCCCTCTCAACCTCCATTGGTTGACGCTTCTCGAAGGGCTCTCGACACCATTAAGGATCGATATCAATCCGGCCCTTCTCGCGACCAACAATCGTCTCTTCTCGATGACGAGGTCATCGAGCAATATATCGACTTCGAAGCGGGGGCAGGGCCATCTACCACTGGTGAGAACCCATCTCCCGCGAAATCTGTCGAGTCCGAACACGGTACCATCGTTGAAAATCAAAATTCTCCTGGTAATAAGTCCCCTGTGCCACCTTCTGATTCCGAAGGGCTTGTCGAGGTTCCCCATGAACTCGAAACCATTTTTCACGCCCCTCGCAAGGTTCCGGTCAATGATGAACTTGCTAAGGCTCTGGATGCTCGAAAAGACTCGGAAATTGGTGAGATTTCTACAGAATTCTGTGCGTTTCTGACTCGTCAGCTACCCTCTGGGCCCGCCTTTCTTTCTCCTCTGTTCGTCACGCTCTGAAGGATGAAGCCCTCGATCGCTTTCGCGAGACTGGGGCCATCAAGCCCACTGTCAAGTGGTTTGGTAACGCCGTGAGCTTTTTCTCCTTCGTATTCCACCGAATTCTAACTGTTAGCTTGATCGCTTGGCCCAAGGTTGGCGACTTCGTAACAAGAATGGCGCTGTTGTCCGTCTCGAGGGTGAGCTTTGCTCCGATTGCCAGCGTCGTCTCGATGGTGGAGAAGATTTTCGTGTCGGTTGTATCGGTCCTCGTGAGCCTTCCTACTCTTCCTGTTCGATATTGATGCAACTTAGTTGGTGGTGTTTGTGGAGAGTGCTCCGCGAAGGGAACTTCAAAGTGTTCGGTGAAAACCAACAATCCCGAGTCCAAATTTCGCGAGGTATCTATCTTCTTCCTTCGAACTTGGTCGATGTTGATGTAAAGGGTATTACTGTCGGAGCCCAGACTGTTACTTCCAAGGTTACCTTCGTCCTGGAGCACGAACTCTGTGCTGCCTCGGCCCGATATCGATCCCTTTCCTCCCAGGATCAATCCTCTTCTCTCACCCAACTCTCCGCTTACATCCACCTCTTTTCCTCTCTCCTTCTTCCTCTTCCCCCAGTACATCTGGGCCTCTACAAATCTCTTCATCTCATTCCTTCCAACTACGCCCCTCCCTCTCCTTCTGAAACCTTGGATCATCTCACCTCTGCTGCTGATCCAACCGGATTGACTTCTTCTCAACCAGTCGCCGGTCCCTCCTCTTCTCCCCATACTCCTCTCCCCCGCAATGTCATTCGTATTCCCGCCTCGGTCCGTCGTCCCCGAGCCAATTCTACCACCTCCAACTTCTAGTGTATTTTATATCTCTCTATACGTAGCAATATCTCCTGTGTATGTATTTATTTCCCAATAAATTCCGTTGATTTTGATCGAACTCTCACTTTCTTCTGGGATCTTTTTTCCTCTTTTCCAGAAATTCACCAAAAACGGCCAACTCTTCTACATTTTCTCGTGGTTCCCAGTCATAGGCCGCATTCCCTGTGTATCCTAACCATTTTACCTTGAATTCCTCCTTTCCTCGTCGAATTCTACTGTCCACAATTGCTTCCACATGGAATTCCTCCTGGCCGTTTATTACTACAGGTGGTGGGGGTTGTATCTGTCGACCTGGTATCATGTCTCTAGGATATGGTTCCAACAACGTGACATTGAAGACATTGTGCACTCTCATTGATGGAGGTAGATCTAATTCGAAAGCATTTTTCCCCACTCTCCTTATGATCTTGAAGGGGCCAACGTATTTTGCTTCTAATTTTCGACTGGGTCTTTCCGTCGTAAGATACTTCGTACTCAGTAGTACCTGTTCTCCCTCTCTGAATTCTTCTGGTACACTCTTGTGTCTCCTGTTGTAGTATTCGGCACTAATCTCATTAGCCATCCTGACCTGTTCTTGAACAGCCGCATGTAACTCTCCCATATCCCTCCATTTCCTCTCCAACTTGTTTGACTTTGATCGAATATCGTGCGAATGGATGTCGTAGTGTGGCACATAGCCGTAACAGGCTTCAAAGGGACACAGACCGTGGCTACTATGTGGCGAACAGTTATAAGCGAACTCAGCAATTGGTAGAAGTTGATCCCAATTGTCCATGTTGTAGTTTACATACATTCCGAGCAGGATTTCCATCTGTTGATTTACTCGCTCAGTTTGTCCATCTGTTTGAGGGTGATACGCAGTCGAGTATAAGTTCTTTATTCCCAAGAACTGACATATTTCCTTCCAAATTTCCGCCGTAAACTGAGTTCCCCTATCTGACACAATTGTTCGAGGTACTCCATGTTTTGAAAAGATCTCCTTGATGTAGATGTCGGCCACTTTGTTCGCTGTTAGTCCAGTTGTACATGGAATAAATCTAGCCATCTTGGTTAGTCGATCGACTATCACCAGTATCGCGTCGAACTCGGTCGATTTTGGTAGGGGTCCCACCATATCCATAGAGATATCTGTCCAGGGCAGTGTGGGTACTGGTAAAGAGACCAGATGTCCATACGGCTGATGTCGATGAGTCTTATGTCGGTTACAGATCTCACATCCTTTTACGTATTTTGCAATATACTCGTCCAAATGTGGCCAGTAATAGTCCTCTTTGACCATGGTGATAGTTTTGTCTCTTCCTGGATGACCCACTAGTATCGAATCGTGTCTTGCTTTCATTACTTCTAATCTTGCCTGTCCCTCTGGTATGACTACTCTGTCTCTGTACAAGAGTAATCCGCTCTGTGTCCATGATACTATTGGTGTCTCGTTGCTAGCCTGTGTCTTCTGTGTGTCCTGTGTGTCCTGTGTGTTCTGGGTGCTCTGTGTGCTATGTGTCTGTGTCATCTGTAGTCCTAGTTGTCGTATGTTTGCTATGTCTTCTGAGTCTTTCAGTCCGTTCTTGATGAGTCCGAATAATGAGTCTTCCCGGATTGCTCCTCTTACTATGTGTCTTGGTCCTTTGTGTTCTGAGTCCATTGAATTCGATCCAATTTGTTCGTGTGTCGGTAGCAATTGTAGCCAGTTGCCTTTGTTAAGATTCGGGTCCTTGCTACTCCCTCTTCCCGGATGATAATCTCCTCGTCTCGTCAGAGCATCTGCTCCCCCATTTTTGCTCCCTGGTCGATAAGTGATCTCTATGTTGAAGTCTCCCAATATTTCCAACCATCTCATCTGCCTTCGATTTAGTTGTCGTTTGCTTTGGAAGTATTCTAGGTTCTTGTGATCGGTAATGACCTTTATAACATCACTACTGTTAGCCAAGTAGGGTCTCCAGGCGACCAAGCAATCCACGATGGCTAATAATTCTTTTTCTCCCACCGTGTAGTTTAGCTCACAGGGCGTCATTGCTCGAGACCAGTACGCTACTGGGTGAAGTTCGGTGGTTCCTTTTATTGAATGGTGAGGAAATCTCTGAGATGCTATCGCACCTATCGCGCAATCGGATCCATCGGTTTCAATCCAAGTCGGTCGGGTTCTATCAAAATGTCGAAGTACTGGTGCTGTGGTGAATGTTTTCTTTAGATCGTCAAAAGCCTTTTGGCATTCTTGTGTCCAGTTCCAAGCTTGATCCTTCCTAGTCAATCGTGTGAGAGGTCCCACAATATGCGAAAACCCCTTGATAAACCTCCGATAGAAATTCGCAAAACCCAAGAACACTTGAGTATCCCGGACTGTCATGGGTTCTCCCCATTCTAGAATAGCTTTCACCTTTTCTTGATCCATTTCGATCCGTTCGTGTCCTATTACGTACCCCAGGAACTTCACTTCATTTGAACTCCATTCGCATTTTCTCGGACTGACGACCAAATCGTTTTCCAGTAGTCGATCTAATACCTTTTGGACAATTATCTGATGGTTTTCGATCGTGTCGGAGTATACCGTGATATCGTCGATATAAACTACTACCCCTTCGTCAAGTAGATCGTGAAACATGTCCTGTAGAAAGTTCTGAAAGGTGGCTGGTGCATTACACAACCCATCCCTTAGGACTGTGCTCTCGAAACTGCCGTATCTTGTTCGCAAGGCAGCCTTTTGTTCATCTCCTTCCTTTATCCTGACTAACTGGTAAGCCCCTTTCAAATCGAGCTTAGTGAAGATCCTTCCTAATTGAAGTCGATCGAGTAGTGTCGAGATGAGTGGCATTGGGTATGAATCCTTAATGGTTACCTTGTTAAGCGCACGATAATCCGTTACCACTCGATAGGGAATCACTCCCTTTTTTGGAACCAGGAATACAGGAGACCCATAAGGTGATTTACTTCTTCGTAGATGGCCGCTGGCCAGACCATCGTTGATCCACTGCTTTAGGAATGCATCCCCATGTTCATCCAGTTGGTAGATTGGTCCTGGTTTTAGTTCTGCTCCGGGGGTCAATTCGATCTCGTGGTCACATTCTCTTCTTGGTGGTAGTTTTCTGGCTCGTTCCACTTTGAATAGCTCCAGGTATTGGTGCCATTGTGTCGGTATGACCTGTCGTAACTCTTCTTCGCTCATCTCATCTTCTCCTTTTTCCAATGCTGTTCCTCTTATCAATCCTTCCTCCAACCTCGGATATTTCCAACCGTTATCCTGTCCGATTCCGTCGAACTCGATCAATCCCTTTCCACAATCGATCCTTGCCCTAAACTGTTTCAAGAAATCCAATCCCACCAGTACCTCGGGGCCTTCGTATGCCATCACATCCAATCGAGTCGCAATCTTGAGTCCTGCTCCTAAATCCAACTCAGCTTCTACATACTCGGTCACTAACGTCGCGGTTGTTCCATCGAGGAATCTGATCTTCCGTGGTTCCTGATACTGTCTCTTTGGGAATAAATGGTATAATGGACAGGCCGGCTGTACGTATCTTCCGGTAGCTCCGGTATCAATTAACATTCCAAATCGTAGGGTATCTTCTTCTGTCTGTATCTTTATGTATATTATAGCCGAGTCATTACTGAGATCTATTGGTAGTTGAATTTTGTGCGATTCTGTTAGATCCTGGCCGCAAGTGGTCGCATCACTTAGGCCAGGTATTCGTTTCCCTCTTCTTCAAAGGTTACCGCCATTCCTCGAACTAATGGCCCTTTGGATCCGGTTGGGACCGAGTTCGATCCACTAGGAATTGGTGAGCTATGCGGGTTTGGGGATCCCCTAATGTTGTTTCTCGTATTTCCTCCATTTGGACAGTTGTTGGCGTAATGTTCTGGACTTCTACATTTGAGACAACGTCGGTTCTCCCTCCTCCAAGTCATTTCGTTCTCGCTGAGACGTCCTCCGTCCTCTGTCCAAGTGACCGGAGGGTCATTTGGTAGACCATAATTCATCATCCCTGGTTTTCCACCGGGCAAGGGTCCTCTACCAGTCGGTTGTGAGTGGCGTTCTACCGGGTTGGGCAAACTAGTATCCAATCGCATCGAATTCGATCGAGGGGGAAGCCAGGTCGTCTCATGTTTGCGTCTAGCAGCCCATCGATTCGCTGCAATCATCGTTTCAGCCATCCGTTGGTTCTCCTCAGTCCCTATCACATGCTGTTTGAAATAGATCCAGTCCGATTTGGTTCGAGGGTCGGTGTTATTTACCACTACCACCTTCAGTAGCTCTTCCTTCAGGCCCTGTATGGCTGAGGCGATTTTCATTGCATCTGGTACCTTTCCAAGGTGTGTGGACCAAAGTTCAAAGTTGGCAAAATACTCGGCGGCCGTATCCGTCTGTCTTAACTCCTGTAATTTCCTCATAGCCGTACCTGCCATGTTACTGTCTCCAAATTGAGTTCGTAAATGCTGGATGAATTTGTCGTAGCTCTCTAGCCATTCGGTCGAATTCCATATACTTGGATTGGTTATGGCCGGGGTTATAAGCATTTGAGGGGTGCCTCGAAGATACCCGTACATGAACAGGATCTTTCTGCGATCGGTGGCGTACTCTGCCCCTTTGAATTCGAAGTTCATGTGACATGCTGCAAGGAAGTTGTCCAATTCTCCTCGTTCTCCACTGAAGGTAGGTGGATCCGCACACCTGGTTCTTCCTGTTCGTTCGTTGTTGGTAAGTTTTGGCTCCAAACACGGCTTGTTTTCTTCGACTTCGATCAAACGTGCCCCTTTCGATGTGAGTATCTGTTGGTTCTGTCGGTCAGCTTTCATCGTAGCCAGTTCTTCCCTTAATGCATTTTGTTCCTTTTGTTGCATCGTCATAATGGCTAACAATTGTGACAACTGCTGCGATAATTCATTTAGCGGATCTGGGGTAGTGGTAGTAGAAGTGAGGTCATGTGAAATGGTACTTCTCGAAGAACTTGTTGGTATTTCTTCCTCTGGGACCAGCCCTTGTTCCAACTCCTCTTTTTCTGGTATCATTTTCCGCGCTTTCCCTCTGGTGAGCATACAGTACTCTCCGATTCGACCCAAGGTGCGTAAGGCTGATTCTTCAACTTGTAACGGTACTGGAAACACGACGACTAGGTCGCAGGTTGGGTCGAACTCGATGGAGGTCTCGTGGAAATCTAGGGGCTCTGGTGCTAATGGATCGTGTCTCCTCTGCAATCGATGTAGCCAAAGAATGATATTGAAGAATCAGCAAAGTTGGTACTTTGCTGATTGTACTATATACTGTCTACAGGTATCCGTCTCCTCTTCTCAGTCCTACTGCAAGCGTCCATGTACATACTCGGACAGGTGAAAAACCGCTTTGAGCAAACCCAGTGGGGAAAATCTCGAAAGGGGAAAACCCGTCCCTACCTACTGCAGCACTGCCTCCAACTCCCGCTTTCCTCTGTCCTAATCCGTCGAACTCGATAGAGTTCCCTCGATTCGTTGTTACCCCGTAACAGATATCGGGGATAGGGTGAGGTACGGCAAGGTTGAACGAAGAGGACTGAGCGTGAGGCAGTGCAGGAGTTGAGGGACGTTCTATGAGAAGAGAGGAGTAGTATAGATAGTTTAGAGATCGCTGAACTTCTTCAGCGATCCTTGATTGTTGTCAGTAGTAAAAGACAAATAGAGATAGCTATACATCGAGATACATCGCCATCAATAGAACAAAGCCTTAGTTAGAGTAACTACGCCGAAGTACGCCGTAGTTACACTCCTTTCGACGTCTGCGCCCTCCTGGTTGGGTGAGACATCGACTCAGAAGCGTGAAGTTAGCCGAGGTTCGTCGACCGTCGGTCTATAAGGAAGAAGTTGCTCGACGGCCGTGACAGCTATGAACAAAAACCTGATGGACATTGCTGATTTTAACTACAGGTACTAGCTGAGTCCGAGAACGTGACAACCCACACAGGGACGAGACGATGTTGGCGATGCCAATCTTTGAATCTGAACTGTATGGTTGAGCCAGGTAAGAAAAAGTGCATACACTGCTCACAAGAGTGTTCACTCTCGCCGACCCTGCAGTCTAGTCATGAACGGGCTCTTTTGCAACAGGTGTATAGTGGGCTTGAGGGGAGTTTGAGTCTCATTGAGACGGAAAAGGTGGAAAAGTCTGCACGAACCACGGCTACTGAGTCATTAAATCAGTCCTTAGACCATCTAGCAACCGTGGGGGTAAGAGGTGGCTGTCTTGTGGATGCGGTAGGTAACAAAATTCACATGTCAGTAGTACCAGAATGAATCTCTGTTGTATTCAAAAAGATGTTTAATATGCAAGAAGGAAGACAGTCTTGCCGATTATGTGGTTTGTCATGGAAACTTAGTGAGAGTCATCGAAAGTGTTAATGTGTGAACAACACGATCATTGGTTTGGAGGCCGGAAGGGCTAGATTCAATGCTTTAGGAGAAGCTCATCTTTGTGATTCTATCAGTTGACTGTTTAATCTATCATGATCTAAAGATCTCGATGAGATTCATTGAGATATAAAAGGATACGAACCAACCACGCAACATTTCATCACCTGCATTCCTTCGGGAAAACATGCTGCAATGGAAATTGCAGTGAAGCACGATAGGGATACATAGATCTCAATGAATGTCATCGAGATTGATAGAGACTTCCATGAGAGATACTTCAGGGGTCAGTAGTCTGCGCCCTTGACAGCAGGTCTGAGATCGTGCTGCATCTATCATCTTGGATTAACCTCTTCATATCCGTTATACTGAGTGAGAATCTTTGAATAACATACTTCAGGTGATCCAGGGCTTTCAGCAGTGAGAAATGTCACTGACGTTAAGCACAGTCACAATGTCTTTCTCGACCAGCGGTTATGAAATCGATGATTTGCTCAAGTTTCTCGAGGACGCCATTAAGGGCTCACGTCAGCTTCGTATTGGGCAGCCTGTCCTGCTGGATGTGGACTGGGAGGGGCTGTCGTACTACGGCGTTGGACACGCTACTCATGACCTAGACGTGAGAGGAAAGAGGAATGCGTACTACCACGCCGTGCTTCATGATCTAATCATGCACCTAGAGACTCAAAGTGAGGCTTGTAGCTTCACGGTCAGTCAATCAGTCAGCAGCTTACAGGAATAGGTTTGATATTATCCGAAGAACTTCTTGTGGAGGAGGGGAAGCAAGAATTAGAATTAGTTAAGGAAGATCGAGTTCGGATCAATATCAAAATAGCAGATATGTGGACTCGAAAGAGGCTGCTGTGGTCGGAAACGCAGGTGGTACCTAAGCGAGAAGAATCAGCCGACATGAGCGAAGTAGAGAACTCTTTGAGTTTGCCAGCGGTGCAGGAGCAGTGAGTAACTTAGTATGGTAGTGATCACGTAACCCATCAGCTGTGAGGGAATGAAAATACTATCATATATCATATCCTCAAACCCGAGTGAGCAACGTGCTACTGAATGACATACTGATTAATAAGGACAACATGTTGTCTACATGTTGTGCATGCTAGCAGTGATCAGTGACCCCTGGGTCGAAAATTAGATAAAGCGCTACAAAAATAAAGCAAGTTGTATGGTTAGCAGTCAGTACTGATATATCTCAATGAGGATCATCGAGATATACCGAATCTTGACGTAATTCACACCAAAGGAGGTCGGCCAGAGGTATCAGACAGAAGCAACATGAAACAATCTCAATGATGTTCATCGAGAGGCTGACCACATCTTTGAGATCTCTGTTACCACCGCTGTTTTACTTCGCAACGTGAGATAAATCACATCCATCATTATCGACTGTTAGTAGGTCTCTATTTACGACACTCAGCTGAAGTGTTATTGTAGCAAAGTGTGAGTGCAAGATTCACAGCAACACTTCACGATGTTTGGGTCGATGTTGATTACAGGCGTAGTAGGATCGTGATGGCTCCCCAAACCCCTTGTGAGCGGCTGAGCCATGGAGGTCAGAATCCCGATGTGACTGACTGTGACAAACGAAGCGAAAGAAGTCCGATGGGAACGACTTGAGTTCTAGTCCACGCATGCCTCGCAATGCTAAACGTGATAAGAAAATAGCTGTGAGTAAGCTCTGAGGTGTGTGAGTATCAAAAGCATGTCCAATTAATCGTCAGGAAGCCAAACTAGACCCAAATCACACACCATTTGAGGGAATATACCGTTGCTTTGCCTGTCAAAAGGCTAATATCGAGTGTATCATGCTACCGGCGTATAACAAATGTGTCTGTTGTGCTGGTGAATGCTCGTTCGCTCCCTCAGCCGATACAATGGCCGAAATGCTTTGTTTACAATCAGCAGCCTCGACCATTCGGGCCGTGATGAGTGTTGTGGAGTCCGACAAGACGGATAAGGCGTCTAGGAAAGCTGCTGCCGAGAGGGTAGGTGAAGCAATGGAGTTAGTAGCAAGAGTTGCAGTGCGGACGGGAGGTGTTCTCGATAAGAAAGGCAAGAAAGTGTACGCTAAAATTCCTGACAGTCGATAGATCTCGATGATGCATAGAGTATCAGACTACAAATATAGAAGAGTCGATGATACTCATCGAAGCCATCAAACAATCAATGGATTGGAAGTAACTCACGAAGCAGCGAGTGCGGTTGAATTTCGATGATCTCGATGAGAATCATTGAGAGTAAAGTTTGATCGCTGAAAAAAAAAAGATCACGGCTCAAAAAAAAAATTCTCCGGAAAAAAAAAAAAACGAATGGCCCTTTCCGCGTTCCATAGATGTGGAGCCCCGCGGCCCGCAAGATGAACTGACCGCAGCCGCTGCCACTTTTGGGGAATTTGGTCATTTGGTGGAATTTGGTCAGAAGTTGTGTTGCCCACTTTTTCAGCATAATCACATCTCTCTCATTCTACTGTGACATCACCCCAAGCATATACAGTCTCCCTCATCATCACTTGTACTTAGGTAGCCCCTTTCTATACTCTTACACGTAAAACTACAGTGAAGAGCTAGAGCTTTACACTCCCTCTTCCGCTCACAATAACTGGGAATGGATTCAGTCAATAGACGTTGATACAGTTCTTCTTCTCTACCATCTCTTTCACTCATCACCATCATTGACCTTCACCGTCGACCACTCACATTTCACCACCGTACCGTCCTCTTAAATCCGTAGGCCTGACGGCGTTGAACGAGGGTGAGCTGGCAGTCGTTGTTCATTAGCAGGAGCTCAACCATAGACTTGTCGGTGAAATCATGTCGGAGTGAGTGTCTCTGTCTTTTATATCAACAGATGATTCCAGATGAACCTTTCCACTCTATCTACTGACGTCGGATGTATGAAAGTGAGAAACTGACAGATAGAGGTTTTGGCCAGTACGAGTTTGAAAGACATCGAAAACCTAAAGCTCCAGCTCCTCATCCTTCTTCTTCTCGAAACGTCATTCGACGTAAACTCGCACCTCCTCTACCTCCTGTATCTTCCTCCTCGCATCCTGGTGCGATCAATGGACGACAACCCAATCTGCCCTTGAAGACTTTACAGGGATTGAAAACTAGACGGACTGATTCTACCAAGGCTGGATATGGAAGGGAGGTGGTTCTCGTCACGCGTAAATCGGGTCTAGGAACGTTGATAGGGAGATGTCGAAGTTTAGTATTGGATGAGGGGTTAGTTTTCTTCTTTTTACCACAAACATCCCCCCCCCCTCTCATTAGTGTATGTGTTTCTCCCTCTTAGTGACAAGACTGAATTAGTGTTTCAATATATGATATTAGGTACAACGGCTGACCAAAAAAAGCTACACTACTTTGACGTTGCACGCTTTGAGTGCCGCCATACCACATGCCTTACTTCTCTTACACGCTCTCTTGGACATCCTGCCTTATCCAAAAGGTTCCGGAGGGATGTGGTACGAGATCAAAACTGGTAGTGTTGAATGTGTAGACGAGGTATCTACTCTCCCGGATCTCTCAAATCCTACCGGGTTAGAAGGGGAGGAGGAGTTTCCTGGGGTTGGAGCTATAGAGGAAGATGAACCAGAGCGTGTGTCACGTATAAAGGTTTGTCATTCAATTTTACCCTTTCTTCTGAGTCGCATGTGCTAATCAGTAGTCATCCATACAGATTCAACTTCATATCGGACCACGGAAATCCCATCCGATCCAAAATGATGACACTCTCCGTCCATTTAAAGCACGCAATAGGCCGAGCAAACATCGAAGACAAGTTTTGGCATCACGTAGGAAACGACTGGAGGATGAAACGGAAGAGACAGCCATGAATAGTGCAAAACCTCTTGTGGTAATGGATGAAGATGAGGTGGAAGAACCCTTGGAGGGTTGACGATGTGCAAATTGACGTATGATATTCCACCAAATAGGTGTACGAATCTTGAATCGGATGTAAAACCACAGACAGCAAGCGACATTCATTCCATATAGATGATTGATTCCTCACAGATGCATACACACATGACCGATGTAAACTGAGAGATGATGGATGTGGTGATTTTATCGATCAGAAATCATAGAGTCGGTATCTGCAAATGGAGCATATTCATAGTCCATCCTATCTCGTCAGCACTTGTTACATGTTACACCTTTTCGGCATCCCCAGTCACCAGGTGTGGCTTTATCAAAAGGTGATCTGCACGTGATGGGATATAAGGCAAGTAGGAAGAATATAAATACTCACGGTCTTCTCATTTGACTAGTCACCCATTCTTCATCTGTGTCTTCTAAACTATACCCCTGTCCACCCAGATAACTCAATAAGACAGGCAATAGTATCAAGCCATGTGTCGCACCAGCTATAATGAGGGAAAGCCACATTCTGAAATAATACGTTTCGAGTAATTTTGATCGAGTGAGAGCAAGGACGGAAATTCCGATAAGTTTGGTGAGTGTGATTCCTGAGAATACCTGGGATTAGTATGTGCTCGGAGTGTTCAACGAATCTATTCTCCTGCGATGCCGTTTCTTCGCTACCTACCTCAAGTGGTCAGATTGATTACAGAGATTGGTCGATCGTCGAAGGAAAGGTTTCTTCCAAACAAAGTTTTGTGTAAGGGGAATAGCAAAATTCTTCTTGTCGTTGTAGTAAGAAGACGTCTGGTCAAGGAACCACTTATGAGATACCACGGAAAGATCTTCTCAATTGATACGCGACCGGAGAGAGTTGACTGAGTGATACCTGATGGAAAGACGTCTAGTAAGTGTGGTACGAAAAAAGGAAGGAAGGAATGGGAGAAGAAGAAGAAGAAGAAGGATACGTAACAAAAAATCAAACTCACCGAAGGTCCAACATCTACCAAAGCAGCAATAGCTCTTTCATCTCTTTCCCTTCTTTGATCTTTTTCCCAACCACCTCCTGCACCCATAAAAGCTCTAGCCACATGACTTGAAAATTCGACTGCAATACCTACACTTATGACCAAATTTACCAAACTTAAAGCGTTCAAACTTATCCCCCAAAATCCCATGATACCCACAACTGTAGAAGTCGCCAAAGCACATGTAAAAGTTACTATACCTCCTGTCCTCCAAGATCCTAACAAAATTGAAGTGATGATGAAAATAGCTATTAACGCTAATGATAAAAGTTTGATAGCGGTATTGATTATGTGAGAATATTGATCAAAGAAAACGTAGAATAAAGAATAAGGGAAAACTTTGATTCCAGTTTGATGTGAAATTTCATTGGAAATCCTCCTTGAAGCTTCTAATGCGTTTATATAATCTTCTTGAGATTTTAGAGGAGTATGATAGGTTCTGAAATGACTTGATAAAATTGAATCATTCGAATTTGATAATTTTAAACTTGTTGAATAAGCTGATTGACCACCTAATGGACATTCTTCGTTTGTAGGTGATGATAACCATTGTTGAAGATATTTCATGAAATCTTCATTTTCAGGAAATCCTAACATTGTACTATCCCAATTTTCATCTTGAAAACAAGGTCGACATTGTCTTGCTGAATCATGTGAGTTACAGAATAGATCAGGGCTGGTTTTCTTGACTCGACAACATGATTCGAATGAAGGATTTGTCCATTGTAGAAAATCATCAATCCAAACGGATGGAGGGGTAGCTAGGAAACTACTTTCGGGTCGTTTACGTTCTGCTTCAAGTATGTTTGCCATACTTAATTCGAGACATGTGGTAAATCTTCCACACATCTTCTGTTGACCTGTTCGAGTGGTAGGATCAACATCACGAGCGACGAAATAAACAGGAGGACCGAAATCGAAATAAGCATCAAGATCGTTGAAATATGGTACGAGGTGAGAAGAAGAAGGTAATGCTAATCGTTGATCGAGACCTAAGGTGATATGTTGCATTCCGATGATGGAGACCAATAACAGAGCGCCGAATAAAGCAACAACGGCTTGCTTGATTTCGGGTCGAAGAAGAGTAGGAGCGTAATGTTTTCGGAAAAATCTAGCGAGTGGAGATTCGGAAGATACAGGTGATCGATCGTATAGTCCTATTGGAGGTCGAAGACGAATACAAGGGAAACAGTCCATTCTCATAGCCTTTTATCATCAGAACTTTCATCAACAATCCAAAAACCAAACGACTCACCTCTGATCGACGTAGATCTAATGTCATCGCACTGACAAAGACAGTGACTTGCATCACTGCACCTAAAACCACACTACCCGCCGCATAGATGGCAAAGTTTCGTACGGCAGGCATTCCAACCAATGCACCCAACCCAAATGCCACAGTCTCTGTCACGGAACTCAGAAGGATACTAGGACCCATCCTGGCTACCGCTCGAGCAACCCTTTCCTCTGCCGAAAGCGAAGCCCCATGACTCTGCACCTGACTTTGATGGTCGGAGTCGATCGACTCATCCTCAGCAGCATGAAGAGCATTTTGTCGATCAAGCTCGTGAACAAGGATGAAAACGTTGTCCACACCCACGGCGAGCACGAGGAAAGGAATAACCTCAGCTATGATGAGTGTGACTCTGACCCCTAGGAGCGAAAACAATCCAACGGATGACGAGACGGCGATGAGGACGATACAAATTCCGAAAAGTCCTAATGAGAATTTCGAGTTGACCGACAACAGTCGAGGGATCGCCGAAGCTGTCAGGGTGGCCGAGAGAGTCGGCGTTGGAGGTGGCGTTTCGACTAGATGAACCGTAGAGGCGAATTTATGTGCTGCACGCCATATGCTCCGGCAAGTCGAAGCTATCAGACTTGGAGGGATACCGCCGCCGAGGGTCAGAGAAACATAGAGAAACATGACAAGATAAGAGAGTACCACTATTTTCATATCGGTGTTTGTCGACTTGTTGAGCTCCTCTTCCAGACTGATACCTGTAGAATACGTGATCGTCACTCCATCTTTGGATAGACCGGCGAGATAGTCACGTAAGGTCCTCTCCCATTCTTCAGCAGGAAGTACACGATCATCATTGAAATTGTCCACAACGTAAGTAATGATGAAGGCTTTGGAGTTGAGCCAATCACCATCCCCACCTCCCAACACCAAATTAGGTAGGATGGGCTGCCCGAAAGGTGGCAGACATTCTCCGGGTCTGGCAGCACAATCCGATATTCTATCTCTCCATTGATCTCCCCACTGTTCCATGTCATCTCCCAGCCATGCCGAGATGGACTGTACCACACAAGCCGTTCCTTTGCCTGCAGGAGCGAAACAAACGTCCTGCAGCGTATGCCCGCTGGGCGATTTCAACTGCATAATCTCTGTCTCGACATTGAGCCACCATTCCAGCGTGTCATATGTCATAGGAGTGCCTTGCTTGGCAGTGATGAAGATTTGCTCGTCTCGATAGAAAGGTCCAAAGGTTTCGTCGAAGAAGTGTTTCTCGGTAGCACTCTCGCTCGATGGTGCGACCCATAATCTGACAGGATCGGTCTCTACTTGGAAATACTTCCATCCGATGTTCAGAGCAGCTATGACTACAGCAGCTAGGGCGAAAGTCTCCATAGGTCGTCGAGCGCATGTCAAACCAAGACGATAGAAAAAGCGCCGTAAAGTAGCATTGATCTTGTTTTGTTTCGGTTGGAGATGTTCCATAGGATCCAACAGACTAGCCCCTCTGCCTAGACGAAAATGTATAGATCCACTCGGTCCAGACTCCGCATCGTCACCTCGTCCAATCAGTCCTTCCACACCATTGTTGGGACCAGATGTCGAGGGTGAGAGTGGAGGATCTAAAAGGGCCACACGTTCGTATCTTCTTTGTCTATGTCGGAGTGCTTGTTTCCAAGAGAAGAAGACGAGTCCTAGAAGTATGGCAACGGAGTAAATGATGAGGAGAGAGAATGTGAGGCAGGATACAGCACCGACTGTACATCTTCCTGCTGTTGGAGGTGGGACATAAGGTAAGGTAGGACATATAGAAGGACAATCGGCGCATGCGCATCTAGCGGCAAGTGCTGGGTCGGAACATTTCAATGGTTGTCGAGTGTATTGACTGTCGTCATTGTCCGGGAAATTGATCTGAAATGGGGAACCTAATCCAGGTCGGACATCTCCCATATATTTGAGAAAAGCAGATGCGTTCTTTGCTCCTCCACCGATCAAATCCATGGAAAATCCGTTGGTAGCTCCAAATTGAACATCCTTGCAACTGTCATAAAACCCCTGTTTGAACTGGTCGCTAACTTCATAGTCGACTTCTTTGACCGCCTGACGACCATCAGTGGTCTCTTGAGTGGAAAGAACAGAAATAAAGGTCGATTGATTCGGAGAGCAGGTAAAGTCGCAGTAGAAAGAACGGAAGTTATTGATACAAGCAGGACAGGAAGCAATCAGGGGTGCCGCTTGTTGTAACTTGTCGCCTAGAGTGGAAAGCTGGTCTTGAGTGCAGCAGACAGCTTCAGGAGCAGCAAAGGCTGGTCCGCATACTGATCGCATGAGCTGGAGGAGCTCACTACTAGGCTGCACGTTGTCAGCAAGAGCAGAAAAGAAGGAGGTTGCCACTGACCGGCGTAGCATCGTCATCGTCTGGACAAGGTAGTTCAGCGCCAAATATGCTCGTCTTTCCGCAACTCCCTCTCATGGAGCATATACCTGGACCCCTGCGAGGGGCATCCCATGTCCGAGGTTGCAGCATTTTGGCTGAAGGAAGGAGGTAAGGTGGAGGAGTGAAAGGTAAGGGGTGACGCTTGGCTCGTCATCGTGGCTACGAGTATGGTAAGTACGGTGAGGTATTTTCCCACGGTCGTCATGGAGATGAGAGGAGAGGAACTGATGGGGACCACACTTTTGATGGCATCAACCACATTACAGCGAATCTTTTTGTTCTCTAAATGTCGCCGACTCGTCAGCTATTGGACCATCATGGGACAATCATCTCTGACCCTCATATCTCCAAAAGCCAAAGGTGTATTCCTCGTTTGACATCGCTGACTATACCGCTTTCAGCTTCTTTGACCCAATGCCTGACCCTGCTGTCGAAGCGGCCAAACTCGGCCTACCCTATACAGAGCCAACAGGGGGGAACATCAAAAAAGCGCGTGTTCGCTTTGAAACAGTTTATGATCCTGTCAATCCCTCAGCCCCACCTCGGACGAGAAAAGTGTACGTCAAGGATAAGGGTTTCTGGAGTCGCTTGTTTGACGGAAATATAGAGTGGGGTCCACAACAAGTGAGCTACTGTGTCTCAAAAGTACAAGGGAGTCGTAAGGGCACAGCTGAATGTTGCAGACGAACGGTAGGATGTATCCAGGAGGTAACGCTAGCTCTCACAGTTCTGCCATGTTCGGTGGAGGGGGTGGTGGTGGCGGCGGAGGAGGAGGGGGTCACTCAGCGGCTATGTTCGGTGGAGGAGGTGCAGTACCATCATACCAAGACAACATGTCTCCTTATCCATTTCCTGAACCAGAGTATGATTACAGTCGTCCCCTGCCCGTCATCGAGGGTGCCTCTTCGGAAACTCCTTCTCCCTTCGAATTCCCTTACAACTTCCCTGTCGGCGACCCCGCAGAATGGCAATATTTACCTAAGGAACAAAGAAAATTCCTTCAGAAGACGAGGGACGAGCAGATCAAACGACTGAAGATGGAGAAGAGAGCAGAAGCGGCCAGGGTCAAACTTGAGAATAAGGAGAAGGAGAGGAGACTTAAAGAGGAGACCAAGGAAGCGAAACGTCAGCTCAAGTGAGTCACTCCACCACGAAACTACACGTGTCCCATATAAGACTGCCGTGTCCTGAATGCTCGTGAAACCGGCTGACTCCTCAGGTTGAGAGAGAAGGAACTGAAAGCTGCCCGAAAACACAACCTCGTTCGTCCCATGCCCGTCCCTACTCTCAACCCTTATGGGGCTCAAACGGCGCAAGCGACCTCATCATTACCAGCGGCACCAAAGTCCGAGCAACCACTCTCTTTCATGCTTTTACCCACGATGGAAGAGTTCGGAGTACGTCGACCGTTCGATGCACCTGGAAGACCGGATGGTCTTGGAGGACCGAGTGGTCAAAGGCAGTGGCCAATGATGAGTCGTACAATGACACACGTGAGTGGTCGTTTCCGAGATTATGGTACGCTAAACTTATGACAGGCGCTAGTGGATATGGGCAAAGAAGAAAGGTTACATGCCATGCAGCGGGGCATTGTATGGTCACCGACATGGTGAATATCTCACCAAACATTTTCAACCGGATCATGTCCATTCCGAATTTTTGGCCTTCACCCCTCGTCGAAGGCTTTCTCGTCATGCACACACTAGGAGCTCACCATACGCTGATATGACGCTCGGCGTCATTGTCTTCTAGTCACTGTCCAATGTTCGCTCAGACGTCGGACTCCGCTTCGTCGGCCCCGAAAAAGCATCTCACCTCCTTTGTATTCGACGATGATCTCCGATCAGTGATCACTGAGGCCGAGAAAACATATCTTTCTAGCATCGCCCTCTTCTCCCTCATTATTTACTGCACAACTGACCTGACCTTCTTACTCACGACTCACGATGAAACAAGGTGAAACGTCATCCTTCCCACATAAAACAGAACTGATTACTGAAAGACCCTTCAGCCCTTCTTCCTCCACGGCTCCTCTAAGTCCTGATACTAACTACCGGAATAAAGTAAGTCTTTCTTGATACTTAGGGTTCGCCACTTTACTGATTTGTAGGGCTGGCGGGCTTCTATTTGGTACATCACTTTTGGTCAGTGCATCCCTACGTGAACGGCGCATGGCTGACCCATCAGTCGTCGCTCTGGGTGTAGCAACAGACTGCTTTTGTTACGTGAGTCCTTGTGCATCTTGTAGTGCATGTATTGATGACAGGCGGCACTCGTTCCGGTGGTACCGTTTCGTCTCCAAGCTTTGGGCTACTCTAATGTATCTGGACTCGCCTCCTGGCTGATGGTATCCTACGCTGGGGGCCAAGTACTCGGTAAGTCCCTTGCCCCTCTGACCCGTGTTGCCAACGAAGGTGTTAAATCCTCGCTAATGAACAGCTACCTTTCCCGTCGCATACTACTTTCATCGACATCCTCATCGCCGTCTACCCCTTGTAGGCGGGGTCATCACGATCATCGGTGCTTTGTTGCTGTTCATGTTTGCCAATCCATATTGGGCGATGGTGGTGGCCCGGTTCATCCAAGGATGTGCCGGGACCGTCATATGGTCAGGCGAGTGGATTTCTCTTCGGTATTGAATTAAGTTGACCTATTGTAGTCGGGTTCGCTTTGATGTTTGTATACTCATTAAGACGAGTAACCCTTGACACTGACCTAGCAGAGTCGAAACGTGTGATGAAAAGAACATGGGCAGACAGATTGGTTTCGCTTTCTCGGGAATTGCCATCGGTACCATAGCTGTAAGGCTCTCTCCCAAAAATTCCATCCTCAAGCTAATGGACAGGCCCCTCCTATCGGCGGTGCACTATACGAAGCACTTGGTTGGCATGCGCCTTTCGTGTTTTGCATCGGTCTCTGTGGTGTTGACTTGCTCATGCGACTACTGGTAATTGAACCTTCTCGTCAAATGTCAAATTCAAACTCAATACAGGCCAACTCCGCTCCGTCAAGTCCTCTCTCAACCACGAGTACATTCAAATCTGAGACCGCATCCAGTACAGAAGTCAACCTTTCTCCTTGGGGAGTAATGGGAAAGATTATATCTTCTCCTAGGGGGATGACCGCTTTAGCTCTCACTGGACTGTTCGGTCTGTTAGTTGGGGCTTTCGATCCCACGTGAGTTGAGCTGAAGAGCAAGGGCAAAACAACTGACCACGTAGACTAACCCTTAGAGTACAAAGTGTATGGGGTAAAGATTCTTCTTTTGTCGGTTTGATCTATCGTAAGTTCAAACCATTCGAGTATGGAAGTAGTAATCACTGATCGCGAGTTATTGCTTGTGCTCCTGCCTTCGTAGCGGGACCGATTACCGGTGCAATGTCTGACAAATGGGGTGTAGAGAGTGTTGCTGTACCTTCTATCCTGCTTACTATACCTTCTACTCTGTTGTTGTTATTGAAGACGAATTTGCCAGGTTTCATTTTCTGTTTCACCTGTATCGGTAAGTTTTATCTTTTCCTTCTCTTCCTCTCTATTCTCCTGCCTTCTTCCCTCTTGTATCCCTCTTCTTATCAGCCATCACAACATGTTCAATGTCAATGTTTGTTTCATGAATTCGGTACGCACGAATGCTGACTACTTCAGATTTCTTTTTGAGTTGTACCATGTCTCCAACAGGTGTAGAAGTCTCAAAGATTGCTAGGAAAACCGTTAGTATTCTTGTTTTCCATATTTCATCACCGCTAATGAATAGGAAGGTGTAGGCGAGATTCGTCAGTCCTTCTCATCGTGCTTTGAGTTGATAGCTGACCGATCAGATCAATTCGGAGCTATAAATGTCGCTTACGGTAAGTCTTTCTTTCGTTTCTCATTCTAACAACTGAAAATCAGCCTCATCTTCAGCTTTGGGAGCTATTGCCGGTGGACAATTGTATGATCGTCCTGGTGCTGGATGGCCAGCTGTATGTTGGTGGGTCTTCCTCCTTTGCTCCCCCTTTCCCCATACATCAGCGTGTCAACCTTGACGCAGTGAACCAGATCTACGAATTGTTGATCATCAAATAAGTAGGTATTGTGAGTGTGGACGAACATGAGAAGGGAGCGAGAGAAAGAGTGTGTGGACAGGAGGAATGAAGAGAGGATGACTGATATTCAGGTTCAATTTCGCATGTTGTATAGCTGTTTTACCCCTCGCCATGCTCTGGACGGGAGATAAACCACTCTTTTGGCGAATGATAAAGGGTCAGAGATATACCAATGATCAATCTTCCGATTCTTCTAGTGAAGTGTGATTCAGTGTGGTATTCATATATTCCGTCCATATCATACATATCGCTCCAGATTGTCTGACAGTTGAGTATCAACTCATAGGGAGTATTCATATTTGAAGCTCCCTCATCTGATGCTCTATCAGATTATAGGACAGAAAGTCAACTTTCTGCGCGCTCTTCCACAGCGCTCGATGATATGTTGATGGTCGATCGTCGAAAAGCTTTCATGATGTATGCATTCTTTCTCTTACGACCTGATATCTTCAAGTCTTCATGTAGAGTAAACATCTGTACCCCTAGGCTCCAAGCTTCGTGTTGAGATGGACAGAATGTTAATTATCAGTATGGCATCATACTTCTGAATGATTTTTTGGATGATGGATAAAAGATACATTCTTCCACCATATCAAATACCCCCTCTTCTACGGGGTGTAGCGGAAGCTCTTACTCCCGCCCCTATCCCAGCGCTTCTGGGCGTATGAGTCACTGTCATTCCACCAATCTTCGGAGCTTTACTCATTGTTTCTTCTTGTAACTTCTGTATTTTCATACGTTCGATTCTATCTCATCAGTCTCATTCTCTCATCTTCTTCACTACAATATTCTACCAAGCGAGCGAAACTAAGAGTCACCATCGACGTACGCATAGGGGAGACATTCCAGACCAGGAGAGGAGTAAGACAAGGTGAGTGACCCGCTGTCATGTGTTTGCTCTTTGACAATTTTTATATCGAGTGATAGGGTAATATAATGTTGACTCACTCTTCTCTTTGACGTGCCATTTCCGCTTCTAGCTCAGTACGTTTACTGAAATCTTTATTGGCTCTTGCTCTTGCCAAAGCGTCAAAGTTCTTTTCTCTAATGGAGAAGAATACACTGCCTAGATCTGCTAGCCAATAAGGATCGACAGAAGTGACACACATCATGTATTCTGTGATAAATCAGTGAAACCGAACCTACACTGTCCACACATATAATCACAGAGAGAGAGGGGGGGGGGGGGGGGGGGGG